GTGAGTGTGAGAAATTTGGTGAGATATTGAGTGTTGAGATATCAAAGGTGGGAGATTCTAGCTAAATCCTGACTTAGCAGGATTCTTTCTAAAATTGAGCAATGCAAAGATGGATGCGGAAGTCCAAAAGTTGAGGCCTAATTGGGAAGAGGATTCAGAGGAGCCTGACTAAATTTTGTTACTTTTAAGAATATGTTAGAATTGAAAACTTAACCTTTCTGGATATATGTGTGTGATATATCTGTCCTAGTCAAAGGAACTGCTGGGTTTAAAAACTTTGGAGTATACAAGAAACATAAGGGTCCATAGTCGAAGGATCGACCCCCAGCCCTACCCCATCCCTAACTTGACAGGAAAGAGACCAAGTGTCCTTGTCCTTGGCATTGTTCTCCTCTGACCCAATATCATTGGAATGGGGACCCATTCACACTAAGTAAAGAGCTCATGTTATTTAAATTGTAGAAATTGCAGGGCTACTAGTGAAGCACACGCCCATGTTGGAAAGAATAACTATCTAACATGTAATAATACCTTTCATTTCCCATTTTTATATCTGCAGGTGAAGTATAAGGAAGTGATTGGACAAGGAACTCCAATCCCTGACCTGCCTGAAGTGAAACGTGTCAAGGAGACGCAGAAGCACATTAGCTCGGTAGTGGCCCACAAAGTCAGCATGCGTTTGTGCAACCAGCCACGTCCCCATTGCTCCGCTAGCTCATCTCATCCCTCCTTCCTTCTCCCAAGGGCTTCCCGTACTTGGAGGATGGTGTGAATCCTCCCCCAGTCCTGAGAGGGGCGCTAGAGTTGCAACAGTAGATAAGAAACCTCTGTATTCACACAATCAAGGAGCAGAAGCGACTTGGCTTCTTGATTAATCATCATACTTGCAGTTTCTAGAGTAAACGTGCCAACAGTAGTAATAAGCTTATTGGGATGATCTCAAGTTAGTTAAGCAAAAGCATATACATACAAACATAAAAATAACATCAAATGAATTTTTATATAGACATATACATGGATATGTACGCATGCGTGTGTCCTTCAGGACATCCTCTACAGTCCAGGAAGCCCCTGGGTAGACTGTGATTTCTCTGCAGCCTTCTCCACTCCCTTTCAAGATTTCTTGCCCTATATCCTCTACTGTCTCCTTGTAAACGCAGTGTACGTTTAAGGTGCTGGCTGTCACTTCCCCACAGGGTGTATTATATATTAAGCATGTTCTCTAGTAGGAATTTCAGGCATCTGTGCACAATGTGTCTGTGTGTGTCTGGAGGGGCGTTCTCCACACCTGAAATATTGGGTTAAACACACATTTCTCCTGACCTTCTGTCTATCTAGCCCCGCCTCTGCACCTCCCCACCCCAAACACACACTTTCCTGTCCATAAACAGATTCTAAGCAATTGCTGGCTACCAGCAAGAGACTGGGTGAAGTTTGGGGAATAGTTTAGGGCCAATAAAAGGTGAGGACCTTGGTCTTAGAGATTCTCCTGGTCACAGGAGGACTGCACTCTCATTCAATTTCTACTAGAAGACACTTGCTATTTCTCTTGCAAGTCATTCCTATAGTTTAGCCCCCATTCCCTTCTCCCTCCCTGCTCACACTCCAGCTTCCTTGTGGCACAAACTTCATTTAGAGTTTCATGTCCACTAAGCCAGGAAAACTAGCCCACAGCTCTTCTGTCGCTTTTGGTTGCAGCTTCTTGCCTTTCTCTGATTTTGTTTTGCTCTGCTGTCCCTGTTCAGTTCTACAGCCTAGCTGGGTAAAGAAACACAACTCTGTACCAAGGCAGTAGATTTTCAACAGTTCTGAAAGTTTCCTAGCAAAACAATGATATCAGCACTAGTTTGTCAGTGACTTTAAGAATTAATCTGTAACGCAAACCCCTAGGTTTTTTGTGTTGCTCCCTAGCCCATGCTCCACACCCCATCCATTTAAAAGGAATCCATGCATTCCTTTAGGCTGACAACTCTGAGCATTGATAGGGAAGGAGGAAAGGAAGGAGGTAAAGAGGCTCAGAGGGTCCTTACTTGCTTCACTACAATTCACAATCCATTGACACTACTCCTAACAAATGAGGACTTGCCCCAGTTCAAACACTGGTTTACATGATCCAGCAATCATTAAACATTTCAGGGTAAGATGTTCTTGCTGAAAAAATAAACTATTTAAGTTTCACATTAAATGGACCTACAGGCTAGGGGCCAGCTAGCAATTTTCAGTAGAAAATACAAAACAAACGGAAAATTCCCAACAACCCTAAAGGAATAGAGTATCACATGATTAGAAAATTTTAAACCAAGCGACCTATTTATTAAGTACAAATCTACTGTGGACTTAGTATATTCAAGGGCCTAATACTAGATATTATAAAGTGGCTAGATTTTTCTCACTGTTGAATTTATTACCACTATGTAATGCAGTCTAGGAATGTGCTGTGTTGACTATAGAAAATGCCTAATTTAGTAACCAGTGTTCATGGTAGTAAAATGACTACTTTTGAAGAGAGAACATACATGTTTGTGGAATTTCTTTTCCTTGTTCCTTGAGTGTCATATTTGAAAGTGAGATTGTTTTTGTGAGTTTCCACCAGATAGCCTACATGTAGCCGTAATCCAAAGGATTCATAGTCATTTTACCTTTTTTGGGTCTAATTATCTCCTACAGGTTATGTACAAAGAAAACTTGGGAACAGGCATTCCAACCCCTGTCACTCCAGAGATTGAGAGAGTCAAACGCAATCAAGAGAACTTTAGCTCGGTATTTACAAATATATCAAATAATAAACTTTATTTCCCATTAAAAAAATTACCAGAATAACCCATCACCCTTTTTAAAAAGTAACATCTTAACAACAATTCTGTGTGCGTGTGTGTGCGTGTTTGTGTTATTACTTGACCCAAACCATTTAGACTTATATGAAGGGACTCACTTTTCTCATAGTAGTTTAACACTGTCAGCGACTAAGTGTGAACACTTAGATCTGAAATTCTGTAAGTAGAATTAACACAAGATTCCTCATCCTTATGCTCAGATCGGATAACTCACCGCTTTCCATTGTGCTTTTTCTTTCCCAGAATTAGCATTCTAGAATTCATCATTAAAATTATGAAGAAAAGAGTAAAAGCATTATCCTTACTAAATATTACTCACTAAAAAACTCCCTCCCCTCACGCCCCCCACCCCCACCTGCAAATGTCTCCCTTGTTTAATCTTTGTGCTTGTTTTGAATGTCTTCTGGGTACTTTCTTGTATCTCACAGGTTTTGTACAAAGAAAATTTGGGGAAAGGAACCCCAACACCTGTCACTCCAGAGATGGAGAGAGTCAAACGCAATCAAGAGAACTTTAGCTCGGTATATCTTAGGGGGCAAAAAATTAAATCCCTGAATTCTCATTTGAAATAATATTTTTAACACATTACAAATATAGGATTTTTCTTCCTGTAAAATTACTAAATTCATTTAATGAAAATAATGATACCAAATAGTACCTGAGTTTTCAACCCAAATCTAACTTTACTTTACTTTACTTTAGTTTTTACTTTAGTTCTGGTGTGACATCTTAACTGTGTTTTTCCTAAAACTTAGCTGTTGATCCCTTTCCTCAAAAATCTATAATACTCAGCATTTCTTTCCTCAAATCCCCCTCTCATAACACTAGGTGTTTCTAACTGGTGTGGACAAATCAAAAGTAAAATCTAACACCTCTTCAAAAAGGACAATGTTATTGGAATTTTATTGTATTTATTGTGGCTCTGTTTGATGTGTATTTTGTGTTTGCAGCTTTTCTTAAAAGAATGCGATTCTTCAATATTTTCATTCAAAAGACAACATAGCAATTCATAGTAACTCAGAAATGCAAACTTACTTGGCTCAGCTATCTTTTTGTACCCACACAAGATATAAATGAGCTTTCTTTTGGAATATTTTCAGGGTCATTGAAAGCTAATATTTATTTAGATTTTAATATTTATTACTATTTATCTTATTCCCCCAAAGCTTTCTCTCCCTCTCTCTCTTCCTCTTTCTTTTTGGTTCCCTAATTTAGAGTTACCAACAACTCATTATGGGAATTAGTTTCAATTAACTTGAACGCTATTTAATAAGGCCTAATCCTTCTGTCTTTGAGAGAAGGCCTACATCAGACAGTGATTCCTGCCTGCAGCCCGGCAGCTGAGTCTGTATTAATGCCACTTAGAGACAGACATTGTAGTGCGTGTGACTTAATGTCCAAAGGTGGTCTATCCTGTTTCTGTGTCTTGAAGTTATTAGGCCTGTTTTACATCCTTATGAAAACAAACAGAAATACTTGCAGAGACTATTTTAAAAGTCTACCTAAAGGATGGTTCCAGGCTGATTGGATTGTTGGTTTTGTGCACACAGATTTTGTACAAAGAGAACTTGAGCAAGGGGACTCCCCTACCCGTCACTCCAGAGATGGAGAGAGTCAAACGCAATCAAGAGAACTTTAGCTCGGTATATCTTAGGGGGCAAAAAATTAAATCCCTGAATTCTTATTTAAAATAATATTTTAACACATTATAAACATAAACTTTTCTTCCAGTAAAATTACTAAGTTCATTTAATGAAAATAATGATACCAAATTGTCCCTCAGTTTTCAACCCAAATCTAACTTTAGTTTTTACTTTAGTTCTGGTGTGACATCTTAACTGTGTTTTTCCTAAAACATAGCTGTTGATCCCTTTCCTTAAAAATCTATAATACTCAGTGTTTCTTTCCTCAAATCCTCCTCTCATAAACTAGGTGTTTCTAACTGGTGTGGACAAATCAAAAGTAAAATCTAACACCCTTTCAAAAAAGACAATGTTATTGGAATTTTACTTGTACTTGTTGTGGCTCTGTTTGATGTATATTTTGTGTTTGCAGCTTTCCTTAAAAGAAGGTGATTCTTAAACATTTTCATTGAAAAGACAACACAGCAATTCATAGTAACTCAGCAATGCAAACTTACTTGGCTCAGCTATCTTTTTGTACCACGCAAGATATAAATGAGCTTTCTTTGGGAATATTTTCAGGGTCACTGAAAGCTAATATTTATTTAGATTTTAATATTTATTACTATTTATCTTATTCCCCCAAAGCTTTCTCTCCCTCTCTCTCTTCCTCTTTCTTTTTGGTTCCCTAATTTAGAGTTACCAACAACTCATTATGGGAATTAGTTTCAATTAACTTGAACGCTATTTAATAAGGCCTAATCCTTCTGTCTTTGAGAGAAGGCCTACATCAGACAGTGATTCCTGCCTGCAGCCCGGCAGCTGAGTCTGTATTAATGCCACTTAGAGACAGACATTGTAGTGCGTGTGACTTAATGTCCAAAGGTGGTCTATCCTGTTTCTGTGTCTTGAAGTTATTAGGCCTGTTTTACATCCTTATGAAAACAAACAGAAATACTTGCAGAGACTATTTTAAAAGCCTACCTAAAGGATGGTTCCAGGCTGATTGGATTGTTGGTTTTGTGCACACAGATTTTGTACAAAGAGAACTTGAGCATGGGGACTCCCCTACCTGTCACTCCAGAGATGGAGAGAGTCAAACGCAATCAAGAGAACTTTAGCTCGGTATATCTTAGGGGGCAAAAATTAAATCCCTGAATTCTTATTTAAAATAATATTTTAACACATTATAAACATAAGATTTTCTTCCAGTAAAATTACTAAGTTCATTTAATGAAAATAATGATGCCAAATAGTACCTCAGTTTTCAACCCAAATCTAACTTTAGTTTTTACTTTAGTTCTGGTGTGACATCTTAACTGTGTTTTTCCTAAAACTTAGCTGTTGATCCCTTTCCTTAAAAACCTATAATGCTCAGCGTTTTCTTCCTCAGATCCTCCTCTCATAACACTAGGTGTTTCTAACTGGTGTGGACAAATCAAAAGTAAAATCTAACACCCTTTCAAAAAGGACAATGTTATTGGAATTTTACTTGTACTTGTTGTGGCTCTGTTTGATGTATATTTTGTGTTTTCAGCTTTCCTTAAAAGAATGTGATTCTTAAACATTTTCATTGAAAAGACAACACAGCAATTCATAGTAACTCAGCAATGCAAACTTACTTGGCTCAGCTATTTTTTTGTACCACGCAAGATATAAATGAGCTTTCTTTGGGAATATTTTCAGGGTCACTGAAAGCTAACATTTCTTTAGCTTTTAATATTTATTAATATTTATTTTATTCCCCCAAACTTTTCTCTCTGTCTCTCTGTCTTTTGGTTCCCTAATTTAGAGTCACCAACAACTCATTATGGATATTAATTTCAATTAACTTGAACACTATTTAATAAGGCCTAATCCTTCTGTCTTTGAGAGAAGGCCTACATCAGACAGTGATTCCTGCCTGCAGCCCGGCAGCTGAGTCTGTACTAATGCACCTTAAGACAGACATCCTTCTGCGTGTGACTAAATGGCCAATGGTGGCCTACACTTGTTGTACTTCTTGAAGTTATTAGGCCTGTTTTACATCCTTATGAAAACAAACAGAAATACTTGTAGAGACTATTTTAAAAGTCTACCTAAAGGATGGTTCCAGGCTGATTGGATTGTTGGTTTTGTGCACACAGATTTTATACAAAGAGAACTTGAGCATGGGGACTCCCCTACCTGTCACTCCAGAGATGGAGAGAGTCAAACGCAATCAAGAGAACTTTAGCTCGGTATTTCTTAGGGGGCAAAAAATTAAATCCCTGAAACCTTATTTAAAATAATGTTTTTAACACATTATAAACATAAGATTTTCTTCCAGTAAAATTACTAAATTCATTTAATGAAAATAATGATACCAAATTGTCCCTCAGTTTTCAACCCAAATCTAATTTTAGTTTTTACTTTAGTTCTGGTGTGACATCTTAACTGTGTTTTTCCTAAAACTTAGCTGTTGATCCCTTTCCTTAAAAACCTATAATGCTCAGCGTTTTCTTCCTCAGATCCTCCTCTCATAACACTAGGTGTTTCTAACTGGTGTGGACGAATCAAAAGTAAAATCTAACACCCTTTCAAAAAGGACAATGTTATTGGAATTTTATTGTATTTATTGTGGCTCTGTTTGATGTGTATTTTGTGTTTGCAGCTTTTCTTAAAAGAAGGTGATTCTTAAACATTTTCATTCAAAAGACAACAGCAATTCACAGTAACTCAGAAATGCAAACTTACTTGGCTCAGCTATTTTTTTGTACCATGCAAGATATAAATGAGCTTTCTTTGGGAATATTTTCAGGGTCACTGAAAGCTAATATTTATTTAGATTTTAATATTTATTTTACTCCCCCAAACCTTTCTCTCCCTCTCTCTCTTCCTCTTTCTTTTTGGTTCCCTAATTTAGAGTTACCAACAACTCATTATAGATATTAGTTTCAATTAACTTGAACGCTATTTAATAAGGCCTAATCCTTCTGTCTTTGAGAGAAGGCCTACATCAGACAGTGATTCCTGCCTGCAGCCCGGCAACTGAGTCTGTATTAATGCCACTTAGAGACAGACATTGTGGTGCGTGTGACTTAATGTCCAAAGGTGGTCTATCCTGTTTCTGTGTCTTGAAGTTATTAGGCCTGTTTTATATCCTTATAAAACAAACAGAAATACTTGTAGAGACTATTTTAAAAGTCTACCTAAAGGATGGTTCCAGGCTGATTGGATTGTTGGTTTTGTGCACACAGATTTTGTACAAAGAGAACTTGAGCAAGGGGACTCCCCTACCTGTCACTCCAGAGATGGAGAGAGTCAAACGCAATCAAGAGAACTTTAGCTCGGTATTTGGGAGAAAGCTCCTTTAACTCGATATTAAAAAAATAATAATACCTTTCCATAAAACCAAAATTCTCACTATTAGTCCCTTTAAAATAATCAATTTAACAACTTCTTTTTTTTTTTTAAATTTCAACTGAATCCTTCTGTTTTCCAGATCTTTTACTCACCATTTGACTCTAACGCTTTATACTTTCTGTAATAGCCCCTTAAAACTTTTAATTGGTTCCTTTCCTTCTCTTTTCACCCTTTATGTTACTTCTGGGAATTTTAAACTTCATTGGTGTCCAAAAAACCCCATGTAACTCTTATTTACTTGGAACTTTTTTTATTCAATGTTTCTGGCTTAGTCTTGCAAGAAAAGACAGTACCCGAGGGCACACGTAGAAATGGGGCTCTTGCCTGGGAACAGGGGTTACCTTAACATACATCCTGTTTGAATAAACAGCAGCACTGAGAAAGAAAATGGCTCAGTGTTGGAACCCAAAGCAGTCTTGTCTTGATACTTGTCCTAAACAAGCAATTCCACAAGCAGAAATCCAGACCCTCTGATTTTTTTTAAATACACAAATCAGAACATGATCTTATATTTAACGTTATTTTCTCTTTTATTAACACTGTTGTTGCTGAAAAACTCTATAATACTCAATATTCTGTGAAACTTCTATGTGAGGATCTTACATTCACTTATGCTTGAGATGGAGAATCAAACGTCATTAGGAAAATTTAGCTTGATTTTTTTAGTGGGTGGGGGAAGTTGGATCCAAAATGCTTTTTAATTGTCAGTTTAAATAATTTCTGAAAGTTTGATTCTTTCACATAATTAGATCAGTAACTTTCTTTGGTCCCACTGTCTTTTTGTTTTGTTTTCCTTTGTTTTTAATTACTACTTACTAATGACCTTTTGATTTTGTTAAGTTTTCATGGTAAATTAATATTACTTTTGGAGTGGAATATTCACTGTTTTCCCTGTGGGTTTATTATCATTATTATTCCTTTCTTTAGAAAGATTTGCATTAATTTTCAAAACTATTTTTAAATTATGTTCTTCTATATTAGAGTAAGTATATTATTGTATATATCTACTTGAGATCTTAATGATCCTGATGATCTTGGACAATTTCTTTTTTAAAGTTACAATTTGCATTAATTTTTACACAGGCTGCCTTTAGGCAAAATTGTCCAGTGGTGTATGCATAGACCCTTTAAGATATTATGGGAAATAAACAGAAGTACATATTAAAACACTGACTTTTAGACTTGACCACTTTTCTACAACTTGATTTTACTCAGCAAAGGCCAGTTTCACCATATTGCATTGATTTAGTCTGGGGTTTTAAATATCTGTTGTTCTGTAAAACAGGTGTTCTGTGTAGGGAAAATAAATATTTGCCAATCTAATTAAAAATCATCTTTCTGTTGTAGACTAAATACTCTTATATTATAAATTTTAGGCTCTCATAAAATTATTTGTATTTTTTTCCTTAATTCCTGACACAGGGAACAAACATTTAATATATGAGTTAGTGTAAAAGTTGAATATCAAAGGCACTGGCACTTCATCTAAGGAAATATGAAATATGTTCTTGTCCAGATTTGTGCTTGAAAAGACAGGTTGACTTGGTGAATTTGTCTTTCCTGTTTGATGTCTGTAGTCTCATAGGAGCTTTCCTGCAAGGAAGGAGAAAGGGCTGTTTTGACTGCTCTTGTTTTTCTGGATGCTTTCTTGTGTCATACAGGTGTTGTATAAAGAAAACCTCGGGAAAGGGACCCCGATTCCCATCACTCCAGAGATGGAGAGAGTCAAACACAATCAAGAGAACTTTAGTTCGGTATTTAAACAAACAAACAAAAATCCCTTTACTTTTAAAACCTTCAAAAAGATTCATGGCTATATTTTAAAATCTAATCAGCTTATTCCAATAAAAAACATTGACATATCTTATTTGCAACTTAATGCTGCCATTTCCTATGAGTCAGTTTCCCCATTTTGGTTAAACATTAATGTAATCATTTAACTTAAAAAAAAAAACGTGTTATAGTGCAGCCTTTAAAAACATAACATTCTCGATGTCTAAGCACCCACATTTGTCCTGCTTTGGCAAATTTGAGCTGAATCTAAAGCTTACAAAAATTTCTTCTGCGAAGATCAGACTGTTGACCTTTTCTAACCTTCTCTGTCCTTACTGGCATTTGTACAGATATTTCCAAGTTTCCATTTTCAGCATCTTGTCATTGCTCTCCATTTGCCTTAAAAATAATTCTTCCCAATATGTTCACCCAAACTAAAAATTAAATACTTTGACTTCTTTTGAAAGTTGACAAAAGAAGATTCGTATGTATGTATCTTCTTATATGCAATGTTTATAAAACCCAAATGCCCTTATGTGGTTTATTAATAACATTTCCAAATCAAAAATAACTTCCTTGGTTCTCCTTCTGTCTCTTGCCCTTTTAATTTTTTCCTCCTCCTAACAAGCCAGGGGGACTAATTATTCCCTTTCGTGGTGCTCTCCGTCGCTCAGCTCTGCAGAGATTAGTTCAAACCACAAAAATAACTAAACTTTCCTTTCATATCTCTTCGTTTTCGCTGCTCTTTCCTGCATTCCCTTGCTTTTAAAGATGTCTCTAGGCTCATACAGGTTGGATCTAGAAGCTTCTGGTATTTTCCTTCCTCTAACCCACTCTCTCCCTCTTTGCCCTTCTCTTCCCAACTGCTTCACAAGACAGCGAAAGTGGTTGATGGCTCTTTTTGTTCTGGATGCTTTCTTATCCTACAGGTGCTGTACAAAGAAAACCTGGGGACAGGAATTCCAATCCCCCTCACTCCTGAGATGCAGAGAGTCAAACACAATCAAGAAAACCTTAGCTCGGTATTTTGGAGAGAAAGGGAAAAGAAGATGCCATTTAACCCCATAATTAAATTGATACTTAACATTTTTTCTTTTTTTAAACTCACTTCCTTTCCTTCGCTTCTAATATATCTCACTTAGCAAATGGACCTACTTTCACATTCTGTGATACTATTGTGGATTCTATTATTTTTTATTTCAATTAATTCTGATTTCCTTTCCATCTGGTATTTTAAAATATTTTTTTTAAAAACCCCTTGTCTTTTAGTTTGCTTGGATAACAACAAAACCAAGTTCTAACCATCTCAAATCCCCATGTGATTGTTTAGGTTGTACCATGCTTATGGAAATGAAAAAATAACACGGATAACTCTGACAGCCTTTCCCCGGCAGCTGAGGTCCTTACTGCCCTGCAGAGTCAGTTTCCCCATCCCACAAATGGCTGCCATTAAAGTAATGCGTGCCATCTTATCAGCATATAACTCCTGGCTCCTTGGACCACTGTGTATTTGGTGACAAGGAAGTTGAACTCACCCTTAAAATCTCGCAACAAATGGAATGTTACTTACGGTTGTTTTTCTGGATGCTTTCTCATCACACAGGTGTTATACAAAGAAAACATGGGCAAGGGAACCCCTTTACCTGTCACTCCAGAGATGGAGAGAGTCAAACACAATCAAGAAAATATTAGCTCGGTACTTTGGCAAGAAAGAAAAAACTACTTCTTTGATGATTTAAAATAATACATATTAATCCTACTTTTTAAAGAAAACTTAAACTTTGTGAATTTCTGTATCATATTTATCCTTCTTTACTATAGGGCTACTCCTAGCCTTAACCTCATAATAACAAGATTGCTTTAATCTGTAATTGAAAGTTCTAATATCAGGAAGTAACGGATTTTCCAATAAACCATCCTTTGGCTCATCTCTCCCCAAACTTACTCTCTATCCGCTACCCCCAAGGTCTCTTTGTTTTACATAAGCATGAAATTTGGGGGGTGGCATGGTAGGTGTAACGGGGATCTTTCTGGAACATTGGAGTTGTGATTTTGTTGTGTTTTTGCACTTATGACTTTAGGTTCTGATTTGCCCTGTCAGATTTGGACAAAGCGACCTTGGGAAAAATAACCCCTGATCCTCTCCTTCAGGAATAATGACATAAATTAAGATCCAGTAGTGGTTTTGGCAAATGATCATCAATTTACTTAAAAAGAAAAGTGTCACTTGAAATGTTTTTTGTTTTACCAATTTTGGTCCTTTTGTCTTTATCATGGTCTTTCACTGCTAACTTGAGTAAACCATTTCCTGTAAGCCTGAGCTCTGTGATGTTATACACGTTTATAGATCACCGGGGGGTGGGGGTTTGCGTGGGGACGACGCTAGCTTATGTCATGAAGCACCTTGTGGTCCTCCCCATCTACACTATCTGCAGGTTTCTCCAATACTAGACTGCAGTGCTTCTGAAACGTGAGTGTGTATCAGAATCACCTGGAGGGTTTGTTAAAGCAGACTGCTGGGTCTTGTCCCCATAGTTTCTCATTCTGTAGATCTGGTGTGGAGCCAGAAAATGTACATTTCTAGCAAGTTCTCAGGTGATGCTGACCTTGCTGTCCCGGTCTCCACTTTGAGAACCATTACTTTTACAGAATTCTTCCTCTTGGATGGCATTTCCCAAACCTCTTGTGTCCCAAGAATGACACTGAGGGGAGACATTGAGGTTGAGGATGTGTCATGATGCCGTACTACGTTTCCTATTGATCTAGCATAATAGCGATATAATTTCTGAAAACATTCTTCCTTACTGATCAGTTTGATGTTGTACTAAACTAAAGCAAGAGGCAGAGTTGATAGCAAGGAAAAAAAGAGTAAAAATCGTTTCCTTGTTTGAGGGCCCATGATTTTACTCGTGTGTCAATATGAATTTAAGTCTCGCAAAAACGTCCCGTCCCCTGTTCCTGTATAAGAAGCAGCCTCCACGTTTTCAGTGTTAGAAAAGCCCAGGCCCCAAGTGCTGTTAAGATGATCTTTCAGGTGCCTGACATTCATAGCCTAGCAGTAGAGAGAAGGTGGTCTCGCACCCCTTTTGGGCATGCGGCAGTTCTGTCTTGCAGGCTGCAAGGGTTTCATAGCAGGGTCCTACCCTGAAATGTGTGTCTTGCTATAACTACACTTAACTTCCCGTGGAAACATATTTCTTTCCATCTAACCCCATTGCCCAAATGGTTTGGCACCCTGAGCCTTATAACAAATGATCTGTTCCGTCTAATCTTTCGGTAACTGTAATTTTTTTTTTCTTTTTGGCTTTTTGGATCCATTGGACTCTTGTAGGTTTTGTACAAAGAAACTGTGGGGAAAGCCACCCCAACCCCTGTCACTCCAGAGATGCAGAGAGTCAAACGCAATCAAGAGAACATTAGCTCGGTATTGTCTTGAGAAACGAAAATGCTTTTCATTTTGCAAAGTAACCCCTGCAGTTTGGCCTGCTCCTAACTCCATCCTGGCTTAAAAACAAACAAAAAGCCAGTTGTTTAGAATCTCCTCTAAGTGATATACTACACTTACCATGCCATTAACTGTTTTCAGGCTTTCTTCTTGAGAGCTGTTCTCACTAATAGTAATAGTTTAAACATGGAGTTTTCTCCCCCAAATTGCACTATATTTAATAGCCTGAATATTGTCTCCTAGTGATTTTTGGGTGCGACTTTGTATCTCACAGGTGTTGTACAAAGAGAACCTGGGGAAAGCCACCCCTACCCCCATGACTCCCGAGATGGAAAGAGTCAAACGCAATCAAGAAAACTTTAGCTCGGTATTTAGAGAGGGGAAAAAGAAACTGTTACACTTTTAACAAGCGTGGCAAAGATGGTTATACCACTAATTTATCTCACAGTTTCCTCAGAACTTTTGTTTATCTTTTAAAATTCTTCTTGACCCACTTAAAAACCACATCCCAACTCCACCAGCTCAAACTGAATTCTTTCTTCACCTTTTGCTTTATACAATAACATTTTAACGGCTTTATCTTCCTGAGGTGTTTCTTACGTAGTGGGCTGTAGTTGAGCCGTAACACCAGCTAGATGATGGTTTTCAGAACTCGTTTTCTGCTCTCTGATGTCTGGATGCTCTCTTGGCTCCTCTAGGTATTGTACAAAGAGAATATGAGAAAAGCAACTTCGACACCTGTCACTCCAGAGATGGAGAGAGCTAAGCGCAACCAAGAAAACATTAGCTCGGTATTTCTAGGATTAAAAAAAGGAGTAGTGCAAAAACTTGGAAAATAACATTTTAACACCATAAAAACGTGCCTTTCTCATTCAACTGAAAAACACACTAAAACGAAAAAAAGAGAAAAATGCAGCATCTTGGAAAATAACATTTTAACACCATAAAAATGTGCATTTTCTTATTCAACTGAAAATTTAGACTAAAATTAACACAACTGTGCTTTTAAATTCCAAATGATCATACTAAGACATAACCAGTTAATTGCCAATGTTTTCTCTCCCCTTTTACTTTACTCTGAGGTAGTCTTACTTAACCAACTGTAACAAATTGACTTCCTAACACCCTCCATCTTCAGCTCGCCTTTATTTTAAAGGTACTCTATGAAACAGGTAATACTCTGAAATGGATGCATTCTTTGGCTTTGATATTTTGAATTTTTCTTGTCTGGAGGACTTTGATTCCTGTATTAGCATATTGGTGTATGAAATCTGGACATAAACCTATGAAAAATGATAGTTCTTTTGAATGTCAGTGTCACACTTAGTGCCAAATACCATCCAATATGCTGGTGCTGTAATTCCCGGCAAATACAAGAAACCACTTTTTTCTCTTTCCTTTCAAAATTATACTGTGCCCCTTTTCCTTTGAAAAGGAAAGTTACATTTTCAAAGTCGAATTCTTTCTCTCCTGGTGCGAGCCCTGCCTGTCCATCTTCACGCTAACCTGTTCCTCTGTTAGCCACGGGTCTCGCTGGGTCCTTTCAGTCGACTCAAGCATCCCTACCCAGCTCTTTTCATCAGCATCTGTTGGAAAGGTTATAAGGCTTCAGAATTAGGACAGTACCGTGATCTGTACTGATTCATGTCTCTCCTCCGTCAGGTTCTTTATTCTGATAGCTTCAGAATTAGGACAGTACCGTGATCTGTGCTGATTCATGTCTCTCCTCCATCAGGTTCTTTATTCTGATAGCTTCCGGAAACAAATACAAGGCAAAGCTGCCTATGTCTTGGACACTCCAGAGATGAGAAGGGTGAGGGAGACCCAGCGCCACATCTCGACGGTGAGTCCCGAGTGCTTCAGGACTGGCTGGCCGGGCTGTTGGAACACGTGAAAGGAGACATGGTCACACTATTGTATTTTCACAAAGTGAACTCATGAAATTTCAGGTGAAATATCATGAAGACTTTGAGAAACACAAGGGTTGCTTTACACCGGTGGTGACAGACCCTATCACTGAGCGAGTAAAGAAGAACACACAGGACTTCAGTGACATTAGCTACCGAGGTATTCAGAGAAAAGTGGTAGAAATGGAACAGAAACGGAACGACCAGGATCAGGAAACTGTTACAGGTAATTGAGCCCTCCGGGCGGGGGGCGTTGGGGGGGGGGAGGGGAATCAACTTAAAGGGAAGTAGAAGAACAAAAGTGACATTATCTACGGCAAGGCAAAGGATAAAGGACCTCAATCTGTGTATTCATTAGGTGTGAAAGAACCTCTGCTATTTCACAGTTCGCAAAGCTGACATCTCTTCTACCTTATGCTTAATCTCCTCTGAGAAGACATGACTAGAACCTAAGCTGAAATAGTGTTATTCAATCCTCCTGTGGTTACGTTTATGCCTTGGTTTCCAAGTTATTGAAAGAGTCCGAGAACATCTGTTCTGATCCTTAATCTCACTCTCAGGTTTACGTGTCTGGCGTACTAATCCTGGCTCAGTGTTTGACTATGATCCAGCAGAAGACAACATTCAATCCCGAAGCTTACACATGATTAATGGTATGTTATGCCAAAAAAGGCTTTTGACATAAACATCATCATTTAGTGGGCTGGAGTCAATGACTTTCAGTCTCTGAGGTTCCTGACCTCCAGGGTTTTCAATTTCCTGAGTTGCCCATTAGCATAAAAACACCTCCTTACCTAGTGGGCCAAACTCATTTTCTAGACAAGTTCAAGTTAGGGAAAGATTGTTTCATTGCTGCAGTGTAAGACTCCTTCAGGCCCTGTTATTATCATTTTTATTCCTAAAGAAAAAACGGTAATACATCTTTCTGTTGGAGAAATAGTGGGAAAAAAAAAAATACGTAGGCAAAGGGCAGAGAATGGATTTGACCTTGAGCAACTTTCTGAACTCTCTTATGGCAAGGAAGATGTCATTCAACAAAACAGGCAGCATGCCTTTATGCCTTCTTTTCATGTTATAAAACAATACATAGTACTTGTCCTCAAAGGACTTACACTCTAGACTCCTGATGAAGAGAGACGAGTAAATCAGTGGTTACACCCTGACACGTGCAATATTAAAGGTCCTCACACAGATTGTGGAAACACCAAGAAAAGGCATCTAAATTAATTTGGAAGTTAGGGAGAACTTTCTGGCAAGGTTGAAGGTGGAGCTTGAATGTGAATATAACAATATATTCACTTTGGTAAGCTGGGAAAATGGGCAGGGTGGAGCGAAGGAGTGGTCAAGGATGGACTCCAGGATTTGAAACCTGACTGTATCATGTGTCACCTGACCTTTGGTAATTTACTTAAACTTTCATCTGGAAAATGAAGATGGTACCATATCCCAAGAGTTTTGAGAGTGTAATCCATGGAAATCTACTTAAAACCGTGCTTGGGAACAAATAAACAAACAAAAACCAACTGAGATTCCATTACTGATAGGCATTACTGCTACAGAAGTTTCACCTCTGCTCCCTCTGCAATCTCCTCTCCTCCAGTCCAAGCTCAGCGCCGGAGCCGGGAGCAGTCGCGATCTGCCAGCGCGCTGAGCATCAGTGGTGGCGAGGAGAAGTCTGAGCATTCAGAAGCTGCCGACCACCGCCTCTCCACCTACAGCGATGGAGGCATCTTCTCTGCAACCTCAGCAGGTACAAGTGAATGGCGCTGACCATGACTGCCATGGCTGGCCAGCTCACTGGCGGTTACTATAAGAGATGCTTTGAGTAAAAAAAAAAAAAAAAAATCTGGATCATTTCTTCTAATGAGAAAAGACTAGAATCTAGAATTGTGGAGAGGTCCAGGAAGTTAGGTGTTTCATTTTTCTTCCTCCTTTCTTGGAAATCATTGTTTTTAAATTAGGGAAAGAGACAGCACTGCTCAGCTGCTAAACACAGATTAAATGATGCCTAGCCACATTGTCTTGTTTTCAACTATTTTTTTCCTTCCTTTCAGCTTACAAACATGCAAAAACCGTAGAGCTCCAACAACGATCATCTTCAGTTGCCACCCAACAGACAACAGTATCCTCTATCCCGTCTCATCCATCTACTGCTGGAGTAAGTAAATAATAAAAATGTGCTCAAATCATTCTTATTTTCTGATATGTGCAAAAACGATTATATAGGTATTCTGCTTTCTTTTTTTAATGAAAGCTTCTGTTTTATGTAATGCTCCTTTACTACATATCTCATGTTAACGGTAATATCAGAAAACCTTCATTACGCAACTCAAATAATTAAAAATCATTATTCAACGATTTAAAAAAACAGAAAAACTAAAGCAAATTATCAATTTGGGCTCTTTGGTCCCACCCACTGTCTTAAACTAAAACATTTGCTGTTTGGAATCATTCTTTAAGAATATTTATATGAGGGCTGGCCCCGTGGCCGAGTGGTTAAGTTCGCGCACTCGCTGCAGGCGGCCCAGTGTTTCGTTGGTTCGAATCCTGGGCGCGGACATGGCACTGCTTCTTAAACCACGCTGAGGCGTCGTCCCACATGCCACAACTAGAAGGACCCACAACGAAGAATATACAACTATGTACCGGGGGGCTTTGGGGAGAAAAAGGAAAAAAATAAAATCTTTAAAAAAAAAAAAGGAGATTCATATGTATGCACGTCACATATAAACATGTCATATCTTAGATCTCCCCTATTAATATATATTAAAGAGAGAAGTCAAACCATGTTTGCAATTCACCAGACTACTTTAAAACTCTTAGTTTAAAACCCTGAATCTCATTCATAACATCACAAAAACATAATTCTTTAGGATTGAAATGAACAATGTTTGTATGAAGAAAACTAGCTTTACTCAAGGACATAAATGAACATCTAAATAACTATTCAGACCCATTATATTTCAGGAAGGGAATCTTGTAAAGTTTACATTTCTCCTAAAATAAATCCAGAAATTCAAGGCAATTCCAATCAAAATCCCAACAGTCTATTAAAAAATTTTGTATGTTAATCCTAAAATTTATTTGAAAGAGTAAAGATGCAGGAATAACCAAGTAAATTTTGAAAATGACAACAGAAAAGGACTTAACCATATCAGAGCAAAACACATGTAAAGCTATTATAATTAAATATGGATTTAGCATAGGAATAGATTAGAAAAAGATGAAGTGTAGAAATGGACCCTAAAAGAATTACAAATCAGCAGGGGGAAAAAAAGCAAAATTGTAAAAAACTACAGAAAAATAGAGAGTACTTTTATAACATTGGGGATGGGGAAAGCCTTCCTTAGCAAGTTCCAAAATCGGGAAATATACACGAAAAGACTGACAGATTCGACCATAATAATTTAATTTTTTTAAACAAAAAGAAACAAGTCAAATTGTGAGAAAATATTTGCTGCATACATAACAAAAAAGTTAAGATCTAAAAAGCATAAAGCTCTCCAAAATTCTTTGACAAATTATTCCCCTTCCCCTCGAAATAAGAAAGAACTGAAAGCGTATGAATAGACAATTCATACAGGAAAAGAAGTAAAAATGGCCAACAAAAAAAATGTTCTTGAGTATAAACCAGGAATATGCAAATTAAAACAATAATAGAGTATCATATTAAAACATTATAGTAACGAACTTTTTAAAAAATTAATATGCACATACCATTTGACCTAATACTTTCACCTTTAAAAGCTCTTTCTTCTGAAATATTTGCCCAAAGACAAACATTAGGGGGTTAGTGTAAGAAAAAATCGTGACAATTGAATGTCCAGAAAAATGGAAATGGCTAAGTAATCTGTGGTATAATTAAAACATGAAATTCTCTACAGCAGTAAAAAGAATGAGATACATCTATATTTAGATGGAAAGACCTACAAGTTATATTAAATGGAAAGAACAAGTCAGAGTATTATTTATAGTATTGTTCCATTTACTCAAGGGGAAGGGAAAACCTACCCTTGGATATGAATGTATGTGTATCTATTTCAGAATGCAACAAAAAATATGTAGGTTACATACCAAATTACTAACCAGTGGCTGCTCCTATCAAGAAAATTTGAGTACCTTCAATTTTTATTTATATCTTCAAGTTGTTACAATTTTTAAAAATTCTATTGTATTGTGATGATTACCGTGAACATGAGATCTACCCCCTTATCACATTTTTAAATGTACACTACTTTATTGTTCACTGTAGGTTCAAGGTTGAACAACAGATCTCTAGAACTTATTCATCTTGCTTAACTGAAAGTTCATGTCCACTGATTGTAACTCCCCATTTTCCCTTCCCTCTATGTTACAATTTTTTTGTTAACATTGTGGAAGATAGATTTTAGAAACTTTTAATACTGGTATACTCTCAAACTCTGAAAGTGAGAGATGACAGGCAACATTGCTGTGGTTTTTCAAATTCTTCTCCAAAACACAAGACTGACCTCCTCAAAATGGAAAAAAAGAAAGTCCATATATAAATAAACACATTTTTTCACACACAGTTTTATGAATATATAATTAACATAGTATTAAGTTCATCATTTGAAGTGTGCAATTCCAATGATTTTTAGTTCATTTACATAGTTGTTCAACCATCACCATACTCTAATTTTAGAACATTTTCATACCCTAAAAAATATCCTTGTACCCATCAGCAGTCACTCCCCATCCTGAGCCTGCTCTCCCCTCTCCATCCAATCCTGGGCATCCACTAATGTACTTTCTGTCTCTATAGATTTGTCTATTTGGGAAATTTCATGTAAATGAAATCACACAATTCATGGTCTTTTTGTGACTGGCTTCTTTTACTTAATGTTTTGAGGTTCCTCCATGTTGTATCATGTATCGGTACTTCATTCATTTTTATTATCAAATATTATTCCACTGTATGGAAATACCGCCTTTTCTCTATTCATTCATCAGTTGGTGGGCATTTGGGTTGTTTCTACTTTTTGACGGTTATGAATAATGCTGCCATGAATATGGGTGTACAAGTTCCATTACATGGATATATGTTTTCATTTCTCTTCGGTATATACCTGGGAATGGAATTGCTGGGTCATATGGTAACTCTATATTTAATTTGGGAGGAACTTCCAAAACTGTTTTCCAAAGTGGCTGCACCATTTTACATTCCTACCAGCAGTTTATGAAGGTTCCAGTTTCTCCACATCCTCTCCAACACCTGTTACCGTCTTTCTTTTTGATGATCATCTTTCTGGTGTGTGAAGTGGTATTTCACTGTGGTTTTAATTCGCATTTCCCTGATGACTAATGATTTTGAGCATCTTTTTATATGCTTATTGGCTATTTGTATATCTCCTTTGGAGACTTCAGATCCTTTGCCTCCTCCCCCAACCCTTTTTTTGGTATTAAATTGTCGGAGTTTTAAAAATATATTCTGCATAGTAATACCTTATCAAATATATGCTTTGCAAATGTTTTCTCCTGTTTTGTGAGTTGTCTTTTCACTTTCCTGGTGGTGGTTGCACATTCTCTTTTGTGCAACTTAAATTTGCGGAGTTAAGTCATAAGAGACCTTGAAATTAAGGGTGAGGGTTAATTGTTGCAAATCTAATAAATTTTTTTCCCTCCTCACTAATAGAAAATCTTCCGTGCCATGTATGACTATATGGCTGCTGATGCAGATGAGGTGTCTTTCAAAGATGGAGATGCTATCGTGAATGTTCAAGCTATTGATGAAGGTTGGATGTATGGCACCGTGCAGAGGACTGGCAGGACCGGCATGCTCCCAGCCAACTATGTCGAAGCCATTTAGGCATGTCAAAGCATCACACGTCTCTGCAGGACCTACAACTCCTGCAGTCAGTATTTCTGTTTAAACTCTCCACTATTATCCAAGTTCTCAAGCTGCCTAATGGTTTTTCTGTGTCAGTATGATGTATGGTTCTACCATCCCTTAATTTGTTTCTACGTGAACCCAATAACTCCAGTAAAACAAATGTTAGTATCACCGATCTGTCCAATTACTAAACTGGATTTACTTTCTCATTATTTTTTGGACTTGCACATAAAACTTAAGAGACAACATTAAACCCATAGGTTCCTTATGTTTTAAATTGCCATTATCAAATTTTCCTGTGGGTTTTAAAATGTTTAATTTCAGAAGAGAGATTTTAAAAGTTTCTTCAATGTTCTATTATTGCTGCATCAACCCAGAGTCTTTCTCCATTATGAAATGTTTAACATTATTTCTTTTCTAAAACAAGGATTCTGAACATGTTATTAAACACATTAAAGCAAAATGGCAGTGACATTCACCTTTTCCTTGCTTACTGAATGCTGATGCTTTTATTTCTAATCCAGTTCTGAAGTTATAAAGCTGATAGTCAATATAAATTGGTGACGTTAGTAACTAATAAAATCTATTAATTCTGCAACAAACATCACTGATGGAATGAGCATTATTCATTTTTAATAGTTTTAAGATCTACAAATAAAAAATTTCAATAAGGCAAATCCCTCACACCAGACGTCGCTAAAAAAAATTAAACTAAAAAAAAATGTACTGTTGAAAGTGGCACAAGCAGACTTTCTCAGAACTCTATCCGTACTTGTCTTATTTATAAATAGAAACAATCTGTGGGATACAATCCTAACCTCAGGGGATCTTTCTCATCTGCATCCAGTGGGCTGGCAGTATGTGGCAAAGGTGGGATGCCAACCGTTTAATGGCTTAATGCTTAAATTAACAGAGTATCCTTTCTAAAAAGCAGAAGATCTGTCCATGTTACTTTAGAGCTGTAGTAATACTGCTGTCCTCAAGCTTCTTAATGTGTCTCTCTCTGAGACTCACAGTGAGCACACTAGTGAAGAGTGCACACTTGCAGATGATCAGTTGACTACACCTGAATGCGAGGCACTGTGAAGATGCTGGGGTTCGAGTGATGAACAAGAGACAGCTGGTGTTCTTATGAAACTTACCGTCGCAAGAAAAAGGCAGACAATGCCTAAGCATCCTCATGGTGGGAGAGTCACTCTTCCCCTCCCAGGTTTTCCATCTTCGCTTACAATGGGTTAAAAATCCAGGTTAAGCTGGGCAACAATCCCACCGTGCACTAGAGATATTCCCCCCCCCCCCCCCAAGTTTTGGGAACACCCAAAGTATATGTCTCAGTTACAATAAACGTTTCCATTTTCAGATTTCCTGTTCACTTTATAAGGCTGCCAAAGCACACTATACAGTTGCTATTATAAAGAAGAATAGACACATTTCTCTCTTAATTCTAGGCTTTCTTTTGGAGCTTGGAACATTTTCAACAGAATACAAAAGTAGAGAATCCTGCTACACTCACCTCCTAGCCTCAAAAGTTATCAACTCACGGTTAATTTTGTTCCATCTCTAGCGCACCAATGCCCTCCTCCCATTACCTTAAAATGAATCCTAGTAATCACATTTCTTAAAATATTTATCACAGTTGACACACCTTAAAACACGGAATATCTAGTTTTCAAATTTTGCTGTTCATCCAACTTTCTAGCCATGTGCATGGGTCATTTTTGTAAGTCCCTTGTATATATCTCCACTACCACACAGTCACAGGACGTAAAGCTGCAAAGAACCTCAGTAACTATTCATGCTAATTTCAAGAGGTTGTACAAGAGACAAACGTCTCTAGGTTACACTCAAACCCGGTTCTCTTGATCACCAGTGCTCATAGTACCACCCGATGCTACTTTTGAAATGTATGTTACGATTTTTCATTTCCCCCTCAAATTTTTATGTTGAAGTCCTAAACCCCAGTGCCTCTGAATGTGACTTTGTCAACTGGGTCATTGCAGAAGTTGTTAGTTAAGATGAGGTAATTAGTGTGGGCCCTAATCCAACAGAACTGGTGTTTATAAAAGAGGGAAATTTGGACAAAGGGACACATAGACCCAGAGAACATCATGTTAAGATGAAGGCAGATAATTGGGGTGCTGCCTTCACATGGCCAGGGAATCCAAAAATTACCAGAGGCTAGGGGAGAGGCACGGAACAGTCCTCCACACAGCCCTTAGAAGGAACCAACCCTGTTGACACCTTATCTCAGTCTTCTAGTCTCCAGAACTGTGAGACAGTAAATTTCTTTGGTTGAAGCCACTGGTTTGTTACAGCAGCCATAGTAAACTAATACAGTATCTTTCAACATCACTAAGTCTATTTTGTTTTTCTTATTTAAAAGCAGAACGGGTTTAGAACTGTGTAGAACCCATGAAACTAGGAATTAAACAGGAGCCTCTATGGTTAAAAACAGGCCATAAAAGGAGACAAGAAGAAAAATGGTTCCCGTGTTTGTGGACAGATACAATGCTCACTTTATGCAGGCATTTGGATTATGCTATTCTTACTCATTTCAGGTCTCACGAAAACAAAAAAGTCAAAAACCCAAAACCAAACAAAAACAAGGACCAGAATTGTTTAATTTTTATAGTTTTATTTCAGATTAAAGTGCATCTCTTTAAAAATGTTTCAATATCCAGTTTCAATTGGCAAGTGGTAACAGTCAACTCTCAATAGATCATGAAAAGTTTTACTGTGGATCAGACATAAATTCTCCCTACCTCAACCTTGTCATAATGAACCCGAAAATACACTTTTCGTATAGGTCTACCTGCTTCAAACATTGTACAAGCATTACACAAATAAAACTGGCTGCACCCTAATTTCCCATCTACAAGTGTAGCTGAGGAATGAACAGATGCTTCTGTGAAGTTTCAACTTAAATCATTTATCAAATATAAATACTTTCTGAATGTAAAACTAAGCTCTCAGAGTACATCAAATGATGAGAACAAAAATATTATAGGGCTAATAAATGACTGATTTGGCTTCTCTCAGTCCTGCTCTAAGTGCATATTAATCAAGTCTATCCACTGGAGGTAGTGTTAAGATAGATGGAAAGCAATCGATTACTCACCAACACAGAAAGCAAACTCCCAGATCCCCTGACTTACTTCACAGGTGTGACAACCAATTAGTGCCAAATGCCTTTCTCTCATGCTTCATGGTCCCTTAATATCCATGGCAAACACTTAACTACATTTTAAGAATTTAAGTAGGAGAAAAAAGTTTACCTACAAAGTACTAGGATCTCCTAGTACACGTCTATTTGAGCAATCGTAAGATATAAATGTAATCAGGGGAGCCCACTTTATGAAGTAAAATCTAAATAACAGCAATAGAAATTAAGAGATTAAGGAAGCAAGATCGCCATTTTACCAGCTATAAGCAAATAACCAAATTGACTACATGCCAGGTATGAACAAAACTATCACTTCCAAAAGGGACATAAAGGGCCAGACGGTAGACACGTCAGGTGCTACAGGCCAAACAGTCTGTCAGACTACTCAACCCTGCTGTGGTGGCAGGACAGCAGCCAAAGATAATATGTGAATAAGTATGACTGTTTCAAACTTAATTTATGGACAGTGAAATTTTAATTTCTATATTTTCATGTGTCACAAAATATTATTGACTTTTTTCAATCATTTAGAAAATGTAAAAAACATTTTTAGTTCATAGGATATATTAAAAACAGGTGGCAGGCAGTAGTTTGTCAACCCCTGCTCTATTAAAAACTTACTGGGTAAGACTACCATCTCTCAGTTTCTATATTCAAAACTGATTCTGTCCTTAATTCCATTTTTCTATTAGAAAATTCTCATTCTATAAAAATAATTCTTTAGACACTTGTTATTTAATTAAGTATCAAAATAACTACTATACCATATTCCATTTTCAGCTCCCTGACACTTTTGAAGGTGAACTTCCTAGTTACATGTAATTTATCCATTTAAGAAATAATGCTGCCTTTTGTTGGAAATTATTTCTTAACTTACAGCTTTTTGGGGGGCAGAGTATTAAATAACATATATTTTTAATAATTACACAAGGTATTTATGAACATTAATTATGGTACTGGTATGTATAGAATAACTCGGATTCCACTGGCTGCCAGCTATTTCCAAGTACATAGGGATGTTTGTCCCTATACTACATGGCCTAACCACTCTATTAATAATTCAGCTCAGTCGGTTTTTTCCTTTCTAATTTTATCTTTTATCAGTACATCAATCTCTACCTGCATATAAGTGTGCTAATAAACTTAGTTTTATCCACAATTATAAATCTGTACACTGTGGCATTAAGATGTTTCCTCTGCTGGAAGGAGAGGTTAAGAGCTATGTAGGTTTTCTCTTTCATGTGACATCAATTTAAAACACTGCTTTCAATTTTATACTCTCAGGTAAGGGGAGAGATTATCTTTTATTCTAATGGTATATTTCAGGGGAATCAAAATTTACAGCTTGGCACTCCATGTTTGGTTTTAATTGTTCTTTGGTGAAAGGCTTTGTATATAAAGGAAAAAATGGTTAAGACTACATTATAAAATTTAAGATTCTATTTCAAGAACTGAGTTAACACTCATGATTCTGTTAGACTATTACTCAAATATCTACAGATCTTCAAGTCCAAATGACTCAGATTTTAATGGCTATTTTCAAAAAGCAATATACAAAGCCTGGTATATAACAGTCATATCATTAATTGAGCCATTAGAAACCGGAAAGCCCAGATTTCCTTTACAGATCAACAAATCAATAAATTTTGATAAATCAATTAAAAAAACCCATTACTTAACTTCTGGCTACATTTTCTTAAGTGCTTTGGATGAGGGCAGTTCTTACAAAGAGTATTTAAATATGTGAGGGAAATATAACGTCGTAACAGAATGCCAAGAAAACTCACTTTTAGAAAATCAAATTATTCAACTGTCTTTCAAATTCCATTTTATAATGAAATAGAAATTTTCAACCATGTAACATAACAGCAAAGTCACCAGAAGTCTTCAGTAAAATGACAAGGCACATCTGTCAGGTACGACTTACAGTACTACCTACTAGCAAATTAATCTGAGGAATAGTCTGTTTTCAATGTTTATTTATAAAATAACAAAGTCCCATAACTTAGAAGGCAAGAATCATTTAGAGACTCAGTATATCTCTAATATTTTAGAACTTACTTTTATATTAATAAAAAAATCAGAACATAATCCACATATTCTCATGAGAAAAGACTCTCATTGTCCAAACTGCTTAATAGGGTTCTTCATAACACAAAACACTTAACCGCCTATTTAAAAACATAAATCTTCCATATTTAAAAGAGGTAAAATTCTTTCAACAATTGAACTTTAATTTGAAGCCTTCAAGACCAGTTTGCATCCCCAATTCATAAATTTGAAGAGGTTACTTAAAGACTGACCACCTTTTATCTTTTGTGGGAATAATTCTAAAGACTTAAACTTGCTTGGGTCATCAAAACCTAATTTACAGCTTGAAGCCAGTTGGGCCTGCCTACCACAAGTGTAGTTCAGACATGAGCATTTGTATGGATCACGTGGGAGTTTTTAGAACTATCAGGCCCCATACATGGCAGACCTACTGAATCAGAATCTGCATTTTCACACATCCACACAAGTTTGAGCATTGTGTTAAAAGTCAGAACTTCACTCTAATGTTTGTATACAAAGTACAAGACCTCTCTAATGGCTTAGGGATAAAATGGACACGGTTTGTGCTAAGGAGCAAAGAGCTCTCTCCTCTCACCGAAGCTTAGCCTAATGTCAACAATTGCTACTTTATAGCCTCCCAGCCTGACAGATTATCTCCCTGAAAATCAATCATGAAAGGTATGAGATGGAAGATAGGTCTTTCTTACTGGATTATTAAGTCAAAGTTGGAAGGAATGGCATTAAGAGACAATTGGACCCCTTTTAATTCATGTTGTCAAATTTCCACTAACCAAGCTTTTTAAACAGCACTTACATTTAATTATTCTCATTCCTTTATCTTTTTTTAAAAAACCTCTACTTGTATATTTTACACTTAACCCTCCCATTTTTCCTAAATTTTGTTACTTGCCCTGTCACTTTTAGGTAAGATATAATCCAACTTTCTTGACATTTTGATGATTCTTAAACATATAAGAGAATCTCTGACTACTTTCAAACTGTACAGAAAAAAAGGAATCCATGGGGAATGTCAGGAACTATCATGCTTTTAATATTCAGATTTACATCTCCTTTTTGACTGTATTGCCCAATAGCATTACTGTTTACCCTGACTCCTCCTGCACTACATGGAATTAAAGCACAAGCTCCAGACCATTCAACACTGGCTTTCAAACTTGTTCAAATAGTGGAGCATCTTTATTAATGGGCTCATTGAAATACTGAAAATTGAAATCCACTACGAAATCCATTTTGGAACACGAAAAATTATACTATGCTTCTGCATGCAACTAGATTTTTATAAACGAATAAAATAAGAACTCACATTTGAGTATTCTTACTAATATTTTCCATTTGTTTTATTAATCATTAGAAAATATTTGAAAAAACTATTATCACTTTAATACTGAAAGAACACACTAGAGCTGATCAAGGAATATTAATGCTTTCTGCTATTCAGGAATCATTCAGGGAAAACTGTAGAAAACTTTAAGGCAAGAATACTGAAAATAAGGTACCTCAAATATACACTTGTAACTATTATCAAGAATGAAGACTTAGCAAACTGGCTTTTGCCCTCAAATAATATTTTAAAATATATCCTTGTTGAGCCACAATGTTTTAAAGTATCTGTGCTCACCTCAAATTCAGTGATTTGAGTAAATAGTAATCATTTTCATCATTTTCTGCTACACTGTTCACCTTCCCAAGAACTTCATTTCACCAGCAAGTTTAGTTCACAGAAGCATTAAAATACGTAGTCATGAAATGAGTTAATTTTGACTCCTTCAAACACACAACCCCTTCCTATACTTGTTCACTAAAAATTTGTGTTTCTTTACCATCAGCATAATTTGGGAAATAAATGAGAGACAATTTAAACCACAATTACAATTGTTAAAAAAAATTCCTATTTTTCATTAATTTCTTCAAGCTACAATCCTCAGTTCAGCAGTCCCAGAATTTCTTTAAAACTATCCTCAGTATATGAATATCAAACTTAGAACCTAAAATATTTGTAATGATGATGGATTTATGATTATGAAAAAGACACCAACTTTTATTGTGGCTGGCTGGCGGTCCCCTTCTCAACATGGGAGCAAACGAAACACAGGATGAAACTTTCTAGAATTTGCTGAAGAAATGTGCACCTTTACAAGTAAGGGTTAGTTCTTATTAAAGTGTGAAACTGAGAAGATCACTCACTCATTCTACGCAAAGAACAAATGAGATATTATCACTGTTAGAAAGACAAAACAAATATGGGAAGCCAGGCACTAATACTAGTTGGTAAAATTTACAAATATTTTAATTATATACACTCTGTTTTTTAAAACTAGGCAAAACAAACATATTCCCAAAGAACAGTTTCAAATTTCTTCCAAGTTTGCTTTAGGCGTAGGTGAAAGAACAGATAAACTCTATGTTTCTTATAGTCCAAGTGGTAATTAAAATACTCAAACTAACGCTCCATTGAAAAGAATGTCATGAGGCACACTGTCTAGTGGCTGATACCCTCTTCCAAACCAAAAGCGGGAAAAAAAGATGTGGGTATGAGTAGCAAAGTTTTAACACTTTCTCATTTCTATAACTTTACTCAATTTGGTTACTTTAGAAAATAAAGTTGTGATTTAACTAAGACTATTAACTAAGTACAAAACTATTTGTTGTTTTATCTTTAGATACAGAACTCTACAAACATCTGCAGCAAGCCCACAAAGCACTTGTACTGTCCATACTGATATTCAGTACTTAATATATACAAAATATGCTTCTATAAACAAAACAAATGTATTCACAAGAAGCTGCAGAAAAATTCATGCAATTAATGAAGGCTGAAATTTATAAATTAAAACCACTGTAATCTATACATAATGTACAAATAGTCGTGCATTTCAAAATGAATACTATATGTCTCATAAGAGTTAATTTTCACAGGCAAATGCTGCTGCACAAATATTTGCTAATGCAAATAAATGAATGGAATCTTAGTAAATTCTGCTTTAATATTTTAACCTCAAAAGTTGAAACTTTTGGTATTTTTCTTGAAAGTTGTCCAAACAAAGCTGACATCTGTGAAAAATGTTACAACTCTTTTGCATCTCATTTGAGGTGTCTTACTGAGAACAAGTTTCTTAAACCTTGGGCAAAACAAAAATAGATTAAAAAAAAGAAATCAAGTATAAACACCTGTATCAGTTCAGCAAAAAATTCAAATAAAAATTTTCAATTTTACTTATTTAAAAATAAGATATATTTTACATAAAATGTTTCATTAGAATATGCATGAGTTTAAGTGTAAAATAAAAAGTATGCTTTTGTTTCTATTTTCTGCTTTTACATTTCAGTAAGATATTTAAATTTGGAGGGAAAGCACACATAGCAGCCAAGAAAATACATTATGTGGAAAGAAATGATCTCACGTAATAAACTTACAAAACTGAACTTACATATTAAGTCATTGCCCTTCAAGATTTGAAATGTTATCAACTTTGCAAACATTCACTCTGAAATTGTGCTATATTTCAGGACTTATTTGATGAATCAACAAATTCAGTGACGTTAAAAACACTTCAATTTCCTCTTAAAATACTAGACAGAATTTTCCTGGGCTGGCGACCTCCAACGTGACTGCAGATTTTTTATTATAGAGTTTGCCATGCTACCAAGTTTCTCATGCATTTCAAATAGCTGACTTCCTGAATAATTATGGAGATCTTCTGAATTCAGTTGAAGAGCAAGTGCACTAATCTGTGCCACGAGATTTTTAGATAGCGGAGTTTCTAAAGCAACAGGATTAATTAAATCTAAAAGAGAAAAAAGCAGAATTAAATCTATTCCAGATAAAACTTAAGCTGTATAAATATCTCCTTTTAGGTTAATAAAAAGTTTATGTCCCTGAATTTCAAGGTGATAGTACAAGTTGAGGTATCCCTGCTCCTCAAGAGAACAAGGTGACAGAAAAATCGACCAGAGCTTATTTTAGGCTATAAAAGAAATTTCCAGGGGCTGGCAGGGTGGCACAGTGGTTAAGTTCATGGACTCTGCTTTGGTGGCCCGGGGTTCAGATCCCGGGCATGGACCCACACAATGCTCATCAAGCCATGCTGTGGTGGCATCCTATATACATAATAGAGGAAGACTGGCACAGACATTAGCTCAGGGACAATCTTCCTTGGCAAAATAAATAAATAAATAAATAGTCACACTACTTCATTTTTATTAACAGTGTAACCGGAACACAATGTTTAGTTTTATCCTTATTTGAGAGCTTGATGGAGTAGAAGTTGACAACGAGAGAAAGGCAATGAAATATACTTAAATCAGTTATTTTTTTATAGACTCAGCAACTAGCATGAAAAAAATACTTACGATTTTCTGACTTTATGATGGTGCGAAAGTGATATGCACTCAGTAGAAACTGTACTTTGAATTTTGATTCTTTTTCCTGGGCTAGCGATATGCGGCGGTACTATACTCTCTGGTGATGCTGAGCAGTGGCAGCAGGCCACAACTCCCAGTCAGCCATGCAATCATGAGGGTAGACAGCCGATACACTTACACCCATTCTGTACCCATACACCCATTCTGTTTTTCACTTTCAGTACAGTATTCAATAAACTACATGAGATATTCAACCCTTTTTTTTTTATAAAATAGGCATTGTGTTAGATGATTTTGCCCAACTGTAGGCTAATCTAAGTGTTCAGAGCACATTTAAGGAAGACTAAGCTAAGCCATGACGTTCAGTAGGTGTATTAAATGCTTTTATTTTTTTTTTCTGCTGAGGACAATTAGCCTTGAGCTAACATCTGTGTCAACCTTTCTCTATTTTATATGTGGGTCGCCACCACAGCATAGCTGATGAGTGATGTAGGTCTGCACACGGGATCCAAACCCAGGCCGCTGAAGAAGAGTGTACTGAACTTAACCACTAAGCCACAAGGCCAGGCCATTAAATGCATTCTTGACTTAACAATATTTTCAACTTATGATGGGTTTATCAGGATGTAACCTCACTGTAAGTCGAGAAAGATCTGTAAAACCATAACAAATTATTTCTTCAAGAAAGTCAGTTGATTTTGTAAATAAAATTGTCTCATTTTGCTAAAATATACCTGAGGCAAGTCTGTCTTCATCAGAAGAGAGAGATTTATTTTCTATTCCATTTACTGTTTTCTCAGAAATATCAAAAACTGGAATCTCTTCTAGTCCACGAGACTTCACCTTGATTATACATTCAGGCCAGTAAAAACAAAACAAAACCAACAAATTGACAGTTACTTTTAATAGGACTAACAGTACTAACGCTGGAAAAGAATCTGACATGATATGTTCTATAGCCCATCACATGATTATTAGCTTAGCTAATATTGCTAAGAAACTGTGTTCTACTAACAACACAAAAAATAGCATTACAAAGGGTCTTCTCAAAGAGATGGTTAGGAATTGATATTTCCTGATGGACTTTCAAGAAATAAAGCCATGGTAGCCAAGAAAATTACATTATATTTCCCAAGTTTATCAACATGGGAAAAGAAAATCTCAGGTAGATTTTCAAGCTTAAATATAGACTTCTTTTTAAAAGAATACAATTTTCATAGCTGTTCCCAAGGGTTACTGATTACTGATTGAGAAAACACTAATTTCAGAATGTTACCAGTTACCATATGACCCAGCAATTTGACTCCCACGTATATACCCAACAGAAATAAAAATGTTCACCTACCCACAAAAAAAACTGTATATGAATGTACATAACAGCATTATTTATAATAGCAAAAGTTGGAAACAACCCAAATATTCACCAACGACGAATGAATAACATGAATGTTGTATCTTCATACAATGGGGTATTATTTAGTCATGAAAAGGAATGAAGTATTGATACATGTAAACTTTGAAAATATTATGCTAAGTGAAAGAAGCCAGCCACAAAAGACCACAAGTTATACGACTGCACTTTTATGAAATGTCCACAATATGCAAATCTATAAAGAAAAAGATTAGTGGTTGCCCAGGGGGGTGAAAATGAGGAGTGACTGCTAATGGGTACAGGGTTTCTTTCTGGGGTGATGAAAAATGTTCTAAAATTAGATCATGGTGATGGTTGTATAACTTCATGAATATACCAAAACCACTTAATTGTGCACTTTGGGTGGGTGAATTTTATGGTATGTGGATGTATCTCAATAAAGCAGTTTAAAAACATCTATGTGTGATTTGACTCATGTGGAATATGAACAAACTTATGGACAGAGAGAACAGTTCAGTGGTTACAAGGGAAAGGGGGGTGGGGGATAGGTACAGGGGGTGAAGGGGAGCACTTATGTGGTGACAGACAAGAAATAATGTACAACTGGAATTTCAAAATGATGTAAACTATTATGAACTCAATTAAAAAAACATATATATATATATATATATATACATACATACATATACATACATACACACACACACACGTAATTTTCAGAGACAATTCCCAGGGCCCATGGACCACTGAAAATACTTCAGAAACTAAACTCTTGATATATGAGACTGAAAATTACTAATACAGTTTTTTTTAACTGGTTAACAAATGTTTTTAAAGATCATAAATAAATTAATACTAAATCAAGGACTTTCAAGAGTATAGCAGAAGTCTTCAGTAGTTAGCAAACTCTAGTCTCAAATTCTAGTATAGAATATTGGTTTTCACCCTTAACACATCCTATTTTTCATTTATTCAGAATTATGCATAATCTCAATGGATACATAAAGGGTCTCTGAATGGGTTTCAGGAGAGTCTGAATCCTTCTGAAACAAAACATAAAATTTTCCAAATATATTTTTATAGGAGGGAATAATCTTGGCTTTTATCAGAATCTTGAAAAATGACCACAATCCAAAGTGTTTATGTGCAAAAAGATGATAGGAAGAGCAAGTAAAAGAATTAGTCACAACTGTGTTGGATATCAAGATCAAAACACGTTAACTACAAATCTGTAAGATTTTTGTAAATGTTTAGATTTGAACATCTATGTTTTAGGAAAAGCACCCATGGAACCAATCAATTTGGTGGAAATAAGAGGTAAGGGGGTCAGAGAACAGAATGCAAATAAACAGGTGTATCACACAAAAAGAGTACAAAATAAATGAGCAAACTTCCCTGTGGAATCACAAAGTGATATTTTAAGTCACTTTTGACTGCGGGAGAGCAGGAAAAGCACCATCAAATGGGCTTTTAAGTAAGAAGAGATTAAATACAAACTTCGGTAATTATGTGGCTAATTGTATACTCATTCTGTTATACATGATTTATAATTAATGTCTAAGTTGTTACCTGCTGCTCATGATAGACTCTGAGAGCCTTTTTTACATTGGACACTTTCGGAGAACGGATAGGAAGAGTTTTTATTTCAGATGCTGTAAGAGTACTCAAATCACCAATTGTTTTTATATTCTTGGCTCTAATAAGTTGTCCCAGTCCTCTTGCCCTGAACCAATGATGAAAGAAAGGGGGAAAAGTCATTAGTTTTCTATTTATTCTATTTGTGAAGGCCTATCCAGCTCAATTTCCTGATTTAAGCTCGGTCATAACTGAATTTATATAGGCCCACCTAACCCACTCTGAGGACGAGCACACATACCTTTAATATGAAACCAGATTTAAATCTCATGTGTATGTCTGGCTTAAGGAATAGCGCTGGAAACAGACTAAGCCTAATGTGTGCCTCATCCTTCACTTACATTATGACTTCTTAGCTGTGTGACTTAGTTGGATTAACCTTTGTAAATTTCAAATTATAAAGTAGAAATAACTATACTCCTTATAGGTTTACATTAGGATTAACAAGATAAGACACGCAGAGAGTTCAGCACAGCACCTGGCAAATATTAGGCACAGAATTATCTTAGCCATTACTATTTATGATAAATGTTTCTCTTATTGCCCTATCTGGCCCATCTTCTCAGCTGAATTTTTATTTATTTCTAAAATAAAATGTGTGTGAAAGTGCATGTAAATCAATTCTAAATATACGAACCTTGATCATTTAAGTATTCCTTTAAACAGGTAACATCTTTAAGTATAAGCCAGAAGCCTTAATAACCACTTACCACATGTTTGATGTAATCTGAGGTAAAATGATGTCAACTGGTGCCAAACAGTTCACCAAAGCTGGGTAAACACTTTCTGTTGGGCATGGCATGGATTCTTTAGCCATTTCTGCAATCTTAGAATAAATTTCAACAGCCATTAAATAGAGGTCACCTGACTGAACATGAGAATATAAAGTTGCATAAGAACTAAAGCACTTCTTACTAAACACTTCTTTGAGCTCTTATATTTAGGGCTACGTGATCCTGGGGACAGAAATCCTTTGGTTGAAGTGGTAATATGCTAGATAGAAGAAAGGAGAGAAAAAAACAACTCAGAACCCTAGATAACTATAATTTTACAAATTTATTTTCATAACTTACACTGCAGTAATTTAAGATTTTCAGAAAATGGATCATTACTGCCTCTTACCACCTCTTCTCTTCATGTCTGCTTATCATGTAGCAGACAAAAGAACAATATATCCAAACCAAAGATTTGTTCCTCAGTTAATTTTAAGACAAATTATGTAATGCCAATTCTGTTTGCATACATATGTGTTTATTTTAAAGCCTATAGCTTACCTTAAACTGTGCAGTAGGTGAAGTTTTAACATTTTTTACTATGAGACAAGTATTTGAAGAATGGGACCTAACAGAGCACCGTCTATCAATGTCATCTGCCAATCCTGCTTGGTATATTGGATCTGCAAAGGAGACACGGCGAACCTGAAAACACAGGTCACGTTTTTATTTAACAAAATTAATGTTTTAAGAAATTATACCATATACTCTCATTATAAGGTTGCCCCAAATTAGAATGTAGCTTTAGAAGCTTAACTCATTTCACCAGAAGCCAACTCCACATAGTTGTAGCTCTTTTTTGTCTTAAAAGAGCTTATGTTTTTTTTTTTGAGGAAGATTGGCCCTGAGCTAACATCTGCTGCGAATCTTCCTCTTTTTTTTTTTCCTCCTCAAAGTCCCAAGTACATAGTTGTCTATCCTAGTTATAGGTCATTCTGGTTCTTCTATGTAGGATGCCTCCACAGCATGGCTTCATGAGCCATACGTAGGTCTGCACCCAGGATCCAAACCAGTGAACCCCAGGCTGCCGAAGTGGAGCACGAGAACTTAACCACTCGGCCACCAGGCTGGCCCCGGTTGTAGTTCTTTCTAGTGACTGCACTCACAGATATTACTCAATATCACAGGTCATTCCAATTATCTATGTTTTAAACTGTCGTTTCCTAACAGAGCAACAAAGAGAGTGAAAACAAGAACAGTACCAGAAACTTAATGAAAGTGCACACAGCAGTTAAAATTGTATAATCAAATTCAACTAACCATATGAACTTACTACACTGACTGTAAAGAACAAGGCAAAGAGGTAGAAACAGTACTAACTGGCCTTTGGTATATCTTACTAATCTTGTTCTAAATTATTTGAGAGTACAAAAGTCACAGCAATGAGATGGCAATTTTTGCCTTTCTTAGCCCCAGCTTGAAGTCATTTTGTCCTCTTCTAAACTCCTACAATATGTTCACTCTTTCAACTATTTGACATAAATACACAACAGAGCACTTATACCATTAAATATGTATATAAATGCCTCCTGGTCTTGACTGCCAAGAGTGGGCAAATTCTGTACATATCTGCTACAGAAAACTCTATGTTGTACTACTGACTAAATAAACATTAAATATGAGCTACTATCAAAGAAAACATGACTAGTTAACTCGTATCAGCAATCTAAAGTACACATCAATCCCAACACATTCTATCTTCATAAACTTTTCAAGAACTTCTAAGGCCTTTTAATTAAACTTAAGATACTTTAAAAAAAAAAAAACAGGGGCCAGTCAGGTGGTATAGTGGTTAAGTTTGTGCATTTCACTTCAGCAGTCCACAGGCTGGGGTTCATGGGTTTGGATCCCAGGCACACACCTACACACCACTCATCAAGATGCTGTGGCACCATCCCACATACAAAACGGAGGAGGATTGGCACAGATGTTAGCTCAGCAACAATGTTCCTCACCAAAAAAACCCAAAAACAAAAACAAAACAACATTAAGAGCCTCAAAGCAAACCAAAACTAAAAAACACTCAAGGGGTGTTAAGCCTTCCCAAGGACTAATCTCTGTATTCTCAGTATAAGACTTTCTGGTATATCCTGGGGAAGTGTGCACAATGTACTTGCTAAAAGCAAAATTAAGTGTCAGTTTCACTATATCTATATATACACATCTGTAGTTATGTCTCGCTATACGAAGCGGGTATGTTCCGAGAAATGTGTTGGTGATTTTGTCATCGTGCAAACATCATAAAGTGTACTAACACAAACCTAGATGGTATAGTCTACTACACAGGTACCTAGTCGATATGGTACTAATGTCATGGGACCACCACTGAAAATGTGATGTGGTCTGTCATTGACTGAAATGTCGTTAAGTGGCTCATGACTGTATTTACACAGGTATTCTACAGTAAATGGTAGGTTCGATTTCAAAATTCAGATGAGGAATGCCCACATCATACCTTTTTCAGAACATCTACTTTGGTAAGTAGAGGACAAGTCGAGCTATTAAGCACATTTAACTCTTCCTTTTTTGATTTATTCATTCAACAAACTGCACGTTACAGGAACAGAAGCTAAGTAGATACATCAATAATCAATGTTTACAAACTAAAGGAATTATAGTTTAGTGAAGATGGCGATATAGACAAAATAATTATAAATGAAATCACATCCAAAAATTGATGAAGGCATAGCCTAAGGAGACTGTTTTCTCCTTTTTAATTAGATACGGTCTGGAAATAAGATTTTATATAAACACTTAAATGTACAATGGATAGCATAAGGTCCTAGTACACAGTAAGTGCTAGGTAAGGTGCTTTATCAGTTTCTAAATCTGTTTACCCATATGAGCATGTCAGTAGAAAAAAATCATCATGAAAGATTCCCATTGATTTTGCAGAGGGTGAAGTATTCATGGTTGTATAAAGATCTTTAGTTTAGTGTCCCGAAATAAAGGAGTAACTAAAGGGTTTCAGTCTCCTTTGCTCAACACCTTTCCTTCTACCTGCCCTCATCCCTAGCCGCCATGATAAATATTCAAAATGAGTTGTCATATGAAGTCTAATATTCTGTCATTCACCAGGTCTCACTAGATGGCCAAAATATTCTATTTAAATACGGACTTATTATTCATCCTCAATTCCCCTACCTTGTGAACAGGTGAAGAGATCTCATCTTCTTGAAGGGGCCTTTTTAGTCCTCTCTTTAAAATGCTGGTGGAAGGAGAAGCCAAAGGAGACCAGACACAGCGTGTCTGCATGCCCCTAGGACTGTCATTTGCTGCCATCAGTAAAGGATCAAGTTCCCTTAATTTTTGAGGAGACGTATCATTGTCTTCTGTTGCCAGCTCAGAGATAGTTGTTTTAGATTTCAGAGACTGTGCTGTTTCCTCCATCTTCTCTAAAGTAGGAATTTCCTGTAAAATTTCATCATTTCGCACTACCATTTGACTGTCACCTAATTTTGTTACTTCAGATCTATTAAGTTTCATATTTGTTTCACAGTCAACTTTTCCTTCTTCAGTGCTCACCTCAAGTGTGTTGGGAACAGCCCTGTCAACTTCTACATTCAATCTCTCTGTTTCGGATTCTACAGGCTTAGAGGCTTTGCTAGTCAGGTCTCCATCTTCTGTTTCATTAACATGGTCAGTTTCAGCATTCACCTCACTGATCACTGTTTCTTCACAATGTTCCATTTCAGCATCCCTTTCTTCAGATGAGCCTAGATCAGATTCATCACTTCCTCCACTTAGTTCCCCAACTGCCGTTTGTTCCCCAACTGCTGTTTGTTCAGAAATCTCTATCTGAGCACTCACTTTTACAGGTGTGTTATCAGAATGACCAATAACTGAATTAAATTCCTCAATTACTGCTTCTTCAGCATTCAATTTTTCACCTGCATCTGCTTCAGATTCATCACTTCTTTCACAGTTTTCCTCTGTTATCCTTTCCTCAGAAACCGCACCTCCAGCACTCTTTTGTTCAGAAAAGCTAACTTCAGATTTATCAGTTTCTACATCCAATTCCATACCTTCTACTCCTTCTGGATTGGATTCTGCTTTTAATTTACAAGCATTTGCCTCAATATTAACACTGTTCTCTATACTTGGTTCTTTTTTCAGGATAGCCTCTGATATTTCTTCTTTGGTCTCGAAAGTAGAACATTCCAGCGAAATATCTTTGGAATCACTTAAACATGGGCCAACAGTTTTACATTTTTTATCGGATAGCTCTTGGCTTTCGACAGATACTGCTTCCTCAGAATCTGTATCATAAATTTCTTCTGTAAAATTTACTATTTCAGAAGGAAGCGAGTCTTGAATAGTATTTTCTTTCAACTCAGTTTCAGATACAATTAATGAATTATTAGTAGTATCATTCTCCTCCTTGAGACCCAAATTAAAATTCACACTATGATGCTCATCTAAAAGCTTTACCCCACAGTACAGATTAGCTTTAGAAGTTTCTGATATAGCTTCAGGTGTTTGCACATCTGGTATTTTTGTTTCACTGACCTTTATATCATAATTTTCTATATTCTTTAACCCAGTGAATGACTTTTCCTGAGGTTGTGATTTTTCTCCACAGCAATCACAACCTTTAGATCTCCTCACCCTCCTACTTCTCTTGTGTTGGCATTCAGGTGTTTGGAGAGTTTTTTCAGAAAGCAAAATAACATCTGGAGTCACTGCATTTGTGGATTCTCCCACACTGTTATTTTCTATAGAATCTCGCTTATGTAATCTCTTACTGGCATTTCTAGTCCTTAGATTTGATTCTGGTACAGGAAGATTTGAAAAGGAATATTCTGAACATTTGTTGGCTTCGCTTTTTCCCTCATAAGTATTTGATATATCATCAGAAACTTGAGATACATCTGAAGATATTGTAGAATCTTGAAGAGTTATAGTACTACTTTTGTCTTTTTCCTCACAAATTTGAGATTTTATATCTATGTCTACTTCAGAATTTCCTTTATAATCATCTGTCTGCTTTTCAACTTTTATACATTCTTGTTTCACCATTTTCTCTTCCTGATCTTCAATGTCAACACTGTCACTGCTTTTGTTTTTCCATTTCCCAGATCTCTTCTTTCTGGAACCTTCTTCTTTCGCCTCAGAACTATCAGATTCTGAGTTTTCAATGCTGGAAAGTAAACCCTGGGATGCTCTCCTTGTTTGATACCGTGTTCGTCCCATTACTGGTTTCTCAGAGGACTTATCTGCAACGTCCTGGGCACCATCTCCCTCAGATTTAGTATTCTCAAGGTCTGCCTTTCTTCTATTTTCATCAATTTCAGCATTTGTGCTGGTTTCCCCAAAAGTCTTCTCATGTAAATTATTTCCTTTCTCAACTAAGTTTTCCTGTATGGTTTGTTCAGAAATCAGTTTTTGCTTAGGTAACACATCATCTTTTACATGTGATGGACTCTTCTGAAGAGGCTTTTCTTCTTCCTTACGTCTTTCCTTTTTTTGATGATTATTTTCTTTATCTTGGCTCTCAGTGGTAGGCTCTGCTGTTTCAGAACGTCGCCTTAAGGAGCGTCTGAGGGTTTTTTGATTTGGAGTTATCTGAACATGACTATCCTCATTTATCATTTGATCCGCTGGTATCGCAGCTGGGGGTGTATTTTCTTTAGATTCCAAATTAGCTCCTAAGGTTTTCTCTTCTACAGTATTGTTTTCTAATAATATAGCATTTTCCATCGTTGGTCTAAGCATTGTATCTCCACACTCGATTGTAGATTCAGAAAGATGAACTTGATTATCTAAAATACACTCTGTTTGATTAAGCAAACCAGGTGGGTTATTTTCTAAGGCTGCCACGCCATCAATGAATTCCTGCGTATTTTTTTCCTGATCACTTCTCATTAAGGGCTTAGATCTTTTATTCCCTGTTTGTTCTGCTTTATTCGACCTCCGGCTTGATCTCTTAATTCCATGCACTATTTTTTCAGAGTCACATTTTGAAAGAGCCACTTCTCTTCCCTTCGCTTTTAGTGGAGTATCTGCTTTAGTAGTGTCTTCTTGGTTATTTTTCACTGTAACAGTTGAAGACATACTATTCAAGGGGGACAGACTAAAAGGTCTATTTTCTGAACCATCAAACTTCTCCAAAGTAATAAAGGATTGCCTTCGACTTGTAGGCTGTAGGGGAGTTCCAGAAATAGTGGCATTAGAAACTGAGCTACTGCTGACACCAAAAGTGTTTTCTGCACTAGCTGCACATTCAGATGATGTTTCCTTCGATGAAATTAAAGCCTTCTTTCCAGCATCATTACTGTCCAGTACTTCTGGACTAGTTTCCTCAATGGAACCACACCCATTATTTGAAAGGGAAGCTTTTTCAAGACGTTCATCCATACCACAGTTTTCTGTGACATCTTGAGGAATGACAATGTCACTCTCCATTTGTTCCTCCTGCACAGAAATGTACATACATATAGATTAACCAGCAAACAACTCTGATTTTCTGGGGAAATTTTAGTGTAAAACCTCAGTGGTTCAAAAGGCAATCACAGACTTTCACTATTTTTCAATATTCCAAAGGTGGTGGCAGATGCCCAATAATTTGGGTGTCTAATTATAAATATTCAATAAAGCCAAATATATTTATTTTAAACAGACATACAGACACACAGACACACATAATGACTACAAGTGTCCTAAAGCCTGTTAATGAGAGTTAAAAGATTATATAATAAACCTTAAAATTAATTAATATATTAAATATATAATAAAACCTTAAAATTAACGGGCAATTCTAAAAACCCTGAAATATGAAATACCAAATAGACCTTAAACATCACCTTGGAATCTTCCTTTGATTTTTCAATTACGGTAGGAATTTCCCTGAAATAAATAAGTACATAAATCAGAAAAGTCTTTTTAAATAAAAATTAGAAAACCAGTTACTTCAACAGCTTCCATACTTACATAGATTCTTCCTGACCATACTGAGAATATAAAGCATCTTGTGAAACATCCAGATTATTATACATGGCAGGTATATCACACCTGAAAAAGATTTATATAAGTAACTTCTATATAAGACTTTATATACTCCTACAATTAGAAAATTAAATTTAGAATTCTACGTCTAATTATCTTTTAAGAACAATATAAAATCAAAGCTTAGATGCTTATTTTCCAGATTTTCCATGAAACCATCTTCCCTACCTTCTCCTCACACACTATCTCCACAAAAGAATTTGGTTTAGAAACATTTGGTACAGTACTAGGTAGCTTTCTACAGTATAAAACGTAGTTACATACAGGCTATCTTTTTGGCATTAAAATGTAGTATACGCAGTATCTTAGCTCTAAACACAAAGTTATAGTTTGCTGCATGAAATCTAAGTGTGAATACAGAATACCCAATTCAAGATAAAAAGACTACAAACCTCTTTGTTTTGAGTACTTCTTTCTGATGTTCAGTCAGTATTCTTTCCTTGGCTTCTTTTCCTTCTGGAGGTATAAACACAAAGTCAACAGACTTTTCTTCTTCCAAAGGCATTTCACTCTTCGTTTTTGGAGTTGATTCTGGTTTGAACTGCAAATTGAAAAAAATAAATAAATATACACTTGAGTTTCCAAGTTATTTTCCAATACTTCAATAAATCTGTCTTGTAGTATGCTGATAAAGTTTTTCAATTAATGACTAGGAATTTTAAAGTACAAAGTCATGCAATATTTCCGGTTAGTAACAATTAGTTGAATGTCCCCCAGTTTGATTCTGCCTCTAATAAATACTCAGAAAATAAAAATACTATCTCTTTAAAAAGTAGGCAAGTGTGTGCTTACCAACAAAGCATGGGCAAACATGTTTTTCAGGCCAACGCATAGAAATCAAGTGGTTTGGCAGGAAGAGAGTACATCTACAGCTCTCAAGCTGAAGCATGAACTAGTCACGTTAAGGAAAAGTTGGAAAAATAATATGCCCTACATTACATACAAGTAACATTGGTACTATAATGTCATTTTCACAAATTCTCAGTGTGATTACTGTTTTCATTCTACTTTACAGTTGCTACAAGACTGTTGGAATTATTCTTTAAAAAATATTCTCCTCTTATGCCACCCACGTTATAGTTAGGCATACTTAGTTTCATTCCATCTCAAGGGGCTTGCTGCTTGGAGTAACTATACTTAACGGATGTCAAATATTGTGCAGATTTAACTCTACTAAGAAGAAAACATCTCCCAAAGCACGGAAGTCATTCCAATAGTCTTTCTAGACCAAACTCTATTATTCTCCTGCAGTCCCATCTTTTATTTAGTCTTTAACAGCTTTTTCTTCCAATTAGACACTGTATGTTCTCAGGTACCATATTATTTTAATTTTAAAAGTTCTATTAAATAAACTTTGGGAAAACATACTTTGGCTGGTGGTTTCATATTTCCTTTTGTATCCTTGGTTTGTGTCAAAAAAGAATCTCTTTTTCCGCTTGATTTTCTTTCCATGCCACTTATCTTCATATTTAACTGTGAATTTTCTCTCTGTTTTATTAAAAATAAAGTGATTTCATTAAATTCAACTGTTCTATTTCTCCTTTTCATTTTGAAAATTCCAGTGTAATGAATACTCATTTCAAATTTCTTTCGATTATTCAAACCTACTAAAATTATGTCAAAGAAAAGAAAGCCATCATCTAATTCAATAACAACGAATAGCGCTGGTGTCTCCAACTTATACAATAGCTGCTTTTAATTTTATGAATTCTAAAATAAGATATACCACACAAATAATACAAAAGTGAATCAAATTACTAGACCCAAACACCCCTCCTATTACTGGAAATATTTCTAAAAGAAAAATCAAAGCCATAGAAACTTTAAACACTAGGGGGCCGGTCCCATGGCCGAGTGGTTAAGTTCTTGTGCTCCGCTTTGGCAGCCCAGGGTTTCGATGGTTCAGATCCTGGGCGCGGACATGGCGCCGCTCATCAAGCCATGCTGAGGCGGCATCCCACATGCCACAACGACAGTGACCCACAACTAAAAATACACAACTATGTACTGGAGGTCTTTGGGGAGAAAAAGGAAAAATAAAATCTTTAAAAAAAAAACCTTCAAACATTAAACAGTGAAGCATGTATGGTAGAAAATATTAACTATCATGTGACTTGAAACACATAATATGGCTTTTTCAGGCCAAATTACACTAAACCAGTCTCAAGAAATCTTGCTAATTATTTGATAAGAATTTTTGTTTTACTCAAAAACCAAAACTAAATAGGGTGCACTTAAGCTAGCTATACTACTTTTTTTCTCTTATACATTCTAAACAAAAAAGAGCTAGATTACATTTGTTGTTGAATAGAAAAATGTTGTCTAAGGATGTTCCACCTCGTGGGTAGATGGTACCCAGGCCTTTACTCCTTCATCTTCAGATAGTAATAAAGTATTATAAGCTAAAGTAACCCTGGTCCAAATGGGTGACGTGATGGCAAAGATGGACAGAAGGAATGAGGGATTCAATGGAAAGAAACAAGAAGACAAAGGGCAGCTTTTGCTTAGACGTGGACTAGTAACTATCATTCCTACTGTTATCTAAAGCAACATTTACTCATGTATCTTAATAATTACAATCTTCATAAAACAATACACATGAGGTACTGTAGTCCAAAAAAGACCATTAATGAATAAGAACCAGAGATTATTTACATAAGAATCTGTGGTGAAATTTACTGTCCCCAATTCACAAAAGTATTTCAGGCCACACAACTGACTCTAGAGAAAAATCCTATGTTAAGGAGCTCTTCTGTTCAGGTTTTACTTGTTTATTACCTCACTAAAACATTCTACATTTTTATCCTTTTTAAAATTACATCAAAACTCAAACACCGTTCAAAAGTAAAAAAAAAAATCAAACTTACTCCCTCTGAATATGGTCCACTGGATTCCTCCGTAATTTCAACATTTTCCAGACCAGGCAACAGAAGCAGAAATTTCTGTTTGGCTTGTCTTAGTACTGGTCTTTAAAAAAGTACATAAACACATATAGGTTGAGTCAAGTAGTACCGCTGAGTACTGATGATATGTTAACAGGAACACTTTAATTATAAAATGGCAAAACACATTTAACTTAAAGACTGTTTCTTACTCTAAAGACACAAAATTGGGAGAAATTACAGACAATATCTGAATTTTTCATGAAACTCTTCAGTTTCCAAATTTTCTTTAAAAACTTCAAATATTCCAAATTTTCATCATGGAAAATTTCAAGCAAAAGTACACTTTTACATTAAGTACCCAGGTACACATCACCTAGATTTAATAATCATCAATTTCCTGCCCTTTGCATTTCTTTTACTAAGGAACATTTTAAATTGTTTTTTACGTTCCTAAAACCAAGGCTACTCTTTAAGGACCAAAGCAAAGGGCTGAATATTACTTAATAATTACCATGTACTCCAAAGAATAATATTTCAACTAAGGAAACCTCTGCAATGATTCCTCACAGGAAAAGTTTATGTTAAAACCAAAATACCAATTTACATGATCACAATAGAATAACTGTATAAAAGAGTTTTATTGTTAGCATACTTTAACTCTTCAGGATAAATCAACATCGTCACTTTAGCAAATGTGGCATTCCAGAACTGAGCACTCTGTTTTCGAATCTGTTTATTCTTGTGCAAAAATGTTATGCATAGTAACGGAGAGATGTGTTCCAGAAGTTCACTGTCATAAGTTCCAGTGTAGCTGAAGTGCAGACAAGCAATAATTTCTCCTAGAAGCTTTTCTAACTAGGAAAAAAGAAAAGTTTATTAGGGTAACATTTGGCAATGTTACTTTTAAAACAGGAAAAAATAAAAACACAAAGCATACTAAATTAGCTCAGAGAACACGTTACTATTACAATTTTTAAAATTCAAAGGGTTTTTTAAAAAGCTTCCATCAAGCTTAAATATATATTCTTCTAACAAATTATCTTCTGACAAATTATCAGGTGAATTTACTTTGATTATTGGTATTACAGCTTATTGTAAACTCATTTTCCATTAACTGAAAAAATTATTTGCACGTCAATTATAATAGATATTAACAGTTGCCTACACAAGTTTTATCTACGAAACATTAGAGCCCATTACCCTCATATATAAAGAAATGAGATACGAATTGATGAGTTACAGGAATTAACGCAATAATTTTAAATTCTTCTTTAAAAAACTATCCTTTGATTGTGTCCATGTCATGTTATTAAACATCCATTAAAAAATCGAAGTATAATAATAATCCTTTTAAAAATCAACAGAATTGTATTTAAGTAAGACAATTATTTAAACCTTAACATTTTTTCATCATGAAAGTACGTTTTATGGACAACTGTCTATTTTTACCTTGTTGTTCATACAACTATACACTTTAGGAAGCTCATCAAGCCTGGGAAGAAAAATAGATAAATATTTTACAAAGTTAAACCTAAAAATATCATAATGCAGCCATAAAAATAAGATATGTAGTGCTATAAAAAGGTGCCGCAAGACTTAACAAATAAATGTCCAATCGCCAAACATTAAACGAATCTACTTTTAAAAAATTAATCACAGAAAAATATCTGGAATAGAACTCAAAGCATTAATACTAGTTACTTGTTTCTGTACTTTTCTTTAAAAAGCATGAATCATTTCAGACGAAGTTTAAGGACTAAAAAAAAGATTTGCAAACATTAATGGATTTGTGGTTCTTGTTTGTACTTGATAAAATCTGTTCCTAAAACTTTCTCTGTGACTTTAATTTATAAAAGATAGACTGTACTATGATCGATGCACACAAGCTTGTTATAAAGAACATTGTTATTTGGGATTTTTCAGATTTTTTTTTAAGGCACTGGTTGCTTCAATTCAATTGTAAAGGGTAATGTAAATTAATACCAACTTTTGGAGGCGATTAGAAATTTAACCGTGCATACCCTTTCAACTAACAACTTCACTTCCAGGACCTTGCTCTACATAAAATAGTGGCAAATGTGAACAATGATTGATGTATAAATATCTTCAACTGTAATACTGTTAGTTACGAGGGAAAAGCTAGAAAAACATATATGCCCACCAACAGGAAACCGGATAAAAAGTTTCATGGAATCCTATGCAGACAATAAAAACAATGAAATTCTTAAGTGTATGTTGCAAGATGCATAAAATATATTAAGTGCATACCATATACTTAATTGCAAATTAGTATGTCAAGTGTGCTTTCACATACACCATACACCTAACATGTATGCTCATTTGTATTAACAAATCTGAAAAGTACTAAATTGAAAAGGTCAGACAAGCATGCAAAATAAAACTTCCAATTTCTACCTCATATTTATGTACTATTTCAACTATCTTTTTAACAAAAGTATGGTTTAATATAGCACCCTCTCCACTAAGTTGTTATGATTATCATCTACAACAAAGCTGAAAGGAAGATAACAAGTTTGTTACCTGGATCTAAATTACACACATTTAATTCACAGCTATTAAGCCCAAAATACTTACTTTGAGTTTTCGTAGAACAATGCCAGAGGTCTGGTTAAAGTTGCAAATATTTTTCGGATCATAGAAGGTAAAGAAATATGTCCAAGTACATTGGAAAGAATGCTGGTGATTGAACTGCCGACAGCAAGGAGAGTATCAGAATGTACTTCCTTGAGGCTCAGAGTGTGGAAAGAACAGATCACTCTGACAATAAGTTTAAATAAAGAAGCCAATTTCCCTAGGGGCTCTTTCTTCTTTTTGGACCAATCTGAAGTTCTCTGCGGTGCTAAGATAAAATTGAATTTATTAAAACAAGTATACTTGGAAGTGTCACTGTCCATCTTTACAATTTATATCTCACATTTAAATGACACATACATCGAATAAACATGTTTCTGTAGTGATACCCAGAAATCTTAAAATGATATACCATTAATAGATAAATATCATTACAATATTATCTTTAAAACAAAAGAAGAGACAAAGGAAAACTAGGAAATCTAGAACAACAATTCCAGAAAAATGAATCTATTTTCTCTAAGCAATTATTAAATGCATTTGAAATTTTTATCTTATAGTCTCAGAATTTCAACAACTAATTTGTAAGAAAGTACTAAATTATATAAGACAGGTTCCAGAATAAAATTTTACAAGTCAGTTTTTAAAATAAGGCAACAAAATTTCCTTTAGAAATTATTGCTTCCTGGCTTATCTAGAGAACAGTGAACCCAGAAATAAACACTGAACAAGTCAGAGATCCAAATCCTAAGCCAGAATAAAGGAACAAAAGCCTAGATTTAAAGAAAAAGATGTACCTTAAAAGCAACAGCTGACCTTCCTTTGTATCTTTCTTATATTCACTCTCCAGATACCTACCTACGATGATAAACCCCTATCTGGCTTGTTAAGAAAAGCACAGCCATTCCAAAATTACCTTTGCCTCAAAGAATCCATTCTTTAAGGTAACATCTCAGATTTAAGAGAAAACTCTAATTCAATGCTTCTTAATTAAAAACATCAGGTAGTGAAATGAAAAACAACTGTTGCTTTTAAAACGAAGTCAACCTTCCTCTCTAGAACCATAAACTAGAAAGGTCACCCAGAAATTCTCGGCCACGATGCTGAGGCTGAAAAGATAGCCTGCGAGTCAAGAGACTGGTTACACAGAAGAGACCGATCGAAAGAACAGTAAATACACGTATGTTAACAGGAATAAGGCTTCTCACTATTAGAAAAGATAGGTAAATAGAGAAAGCAGTAACTAGAATAAACCATGAAGACAAGACTTGGGAACTGTTTCAGGTTGAAGGCTTGTCTATAACATACTTTGAATGGTTCTGGAAAAAAAAAAAAGAATGAATAAAATAAATAAATGGGGGGTGTGAAAGGATTAAGACAAATGCAATCAACTGTTAATTGAAGAATCTGAGTAAAGGATATGAAGTATCTGTATATAATTCTTGCAATGTTCTTGAAAACTGAAATTATTACAGTAAATGTTATCAAAAAAACCCCAAAGTGATCCTGATGCACACTCACAAATAATACTACTTCCTTTTACCTATTCTAATTTTTCTTTCCTCTCCTCCTCAACTTCTGCTGGCAGATTTTAGAAATCTCTCCCAGTTTCCATAAATTTAAACAGCAAGAACACCTCTTACAAGACAAGGAGTGAAAAAGACAAAAGACTTGTAATTGTAGGTTTATGGATCAAAGATAGACTGCATATTTGGTTAATTCTAATTTTGCAGAAGTAACAAAATATGTCAACAAGGGGTTCATCATCTTGGCTTCATCAAATTTTTCAAAGCCAAGAAGAGGCTTACAAAATAATTTCTAAGATTATTTGTTATACAACCTTTTAATATACTTATGGTATTTAGAGATAATTTTATTTTTCTGAGTAGGCCCATTCAGCCTTAGGGCTGAGATTAAAAATTCAAACACATTTACAACCTATTTCTGTGGCAGTGATGCTGTGATGCTCGGACCTGTAATACATTTTAGGCACTTAACATATTCCTCTATATTAATTATTTAGTACAAACTGAAACACTAAAAAATAAAAAAATAAAAATATTCTATGTTCTAGAAATCTTTACACTAATTCATCAATGATAGATCTTCTTATTAAAGGGAAATTGAGTATGTTCCTAATCTTTAAACAGGAAAAGTACTATCTTTAAACATCAACATTTTTCATTACTGGATGGATGGTTACTTCGTATACAGTATGTCCATATAATCACTTGTAGGAAGATTAAATTTCAAGAATTAATTAGTGATTTAAAACAGCTGCCTATTACAATATAATTGAGAATTAACCAGGACATGCAGTTTTAAAAATCAGCTTATTACTATTTTACTTGTCCAATTTTAACTAAAATGTTAAAAACTGAGCAAAAATTTTTAGAATCATTTTAAATTTCCTGTAAAACCATAACCAATTAACCGCTGTCATGATTTCCTATTCAATTTAATGCCAAGTCAATGATTATTCTCAATCAGGCTACCAAATAAGAACACTTTAACAAATGTCAAACGTTCTTGTCCAGGGGCCGGCTCAGTGGCACAGTGGTTAAGATCACAAGTCCTGCTTCAGCGGCCCAGGGTTCCCCGGTTTGGATCCAGGTGTGGACTTACACACTACTTGGCAAGCCATGCTGCGGCAGGTGTCCCACATACAAAGTAGAGGAAGATGGGCACGGATATTAGCTCAGTCTTCCTCAGCAAAAAAGGGGGAGACTGGCAGCAGATGTTAGCTCAGGGCTAATGTTCCTCAAAAACAACAAAAAGTTTTTTGTCCCAATAATCCCTTGCACCAGATGGAATAAGTAAAATCACTTGTATTATTATTACTTAGGCAATCTCTAAATAGGATAGTATTTCTCCTTCTGTGTTATAAAAAAAGAGTAAAGATGTTTCCTGAGTAGTGTGTGAGAGAGAGAAAGAAAGAGCATGTGAGCTCCCAGCACAGTAACTGACATTGGTTATACAACATGAAAAGTAGGTAAAACGAGGTGGGAAAAACCATTAGGATTTGCGGTGACAACGGTTCAGACAGCCATGCCTATGAAATATTGGGTAAACAAAGGTAAAGAAAATACTTACATTTAACTTTGGGCTGATATTTATTATTATATGGTGAGAAGTCGATGCAATCAACCATTACAGTAATAACATGAATGATTCTATCCAAGAAGAACAAATTCTATGGAAGAATAGGTAAGTATTATATTAGGACCTGTCAACTACTGACATAGTTTTCAAAAATAGTAATAAGCATCAACAAAAAATATTAAGACTTTTACTCTCATATATAACTATAACAACACACATGTCATAGCTTATACCAAATAAAGGTACATTAAGAATAGGTTATGAATATTTCCCAGTTAACTGCTCTGTGCCAAGTACTACCACTTTTTGTTTCTCAACACTTAGGGAAAATAATTCAGCTTTAGATGCCCATAAAACTCAGCATACAAACCAACAAACTGAGAAAAGGAAGAGCTAGGTTCATAATTAGATTCTTTATGAAATTCCTCCTGAAAATTACAAGTGTTCAATAAACTCAGCAAAACTAAAACAAAAAATGAAAAAGTTGCTAAGCTCCCTCATGCCCTTTGCTCTTCCTCCTCCTCTAATCCAACTGAAATAAAAATAAATCCATAGAAACATCAGAAATTTCTCTGGAAATTTATTTTAAAGGTTGGGGGCAAGGGAGACTAAAAACAGAACAAAGGAAATCCCAGCAGCACCAAGAGTCAAAGAACACCTCAAAAACAGTGAGCTTTCCTAGCAGAACCTGAGTAACAGAAGACACAGCGAGGGTTCTGAGAAAAAGATCTGATGGTTGTTAAAAAAGCAAATGAGTGATTAAAAGACTAATGAAATTAAAAATCTCTGGAACAGTTGCACTTTCTTCTTCCTTTATTCTCCGTTGTCTTCCATTTGTCCACTTCAACAGACTAATTCATGTCTGCCCCCAAAGACAGCCTGCCACAACGGGTGTTAAGAGCCAGGAGGAGGAAGATAGTGCCCCTGTTAATCTATGAAGGTCAGCAGATCATTTACACACTTACTTACATTAAAAAAAAAAGTTTCAGGTGCTTCCTTCTCACTCACAATTACAAGGATTCCTGTAACTAAACATGCTACCAAAGCCAGGAAAACAGGGGTTCTCTCTTGGGTTAGGAAACACACTTCAGCTACCAATATTGTTTAATACTAACCTTTAATGACAAATATGCACAATCATGAGGAGCACCAGTACCATGAAGAAAGTGTGATAAATACCAACACAACTAATCCATGAAGAAAAAGCTAATAACAGAAAGAGAAGAAAACTAATATCCTTAAAGGTAAAACGAAATCATATCCACCTAAAAATACTAAATGTAAAAACAGAACCATTATAAAACACCTCAGCATTTAAACTGCAAAGGAGTTGACAGAGTTAGAAATATCAAGCTCCCAGAAAGCAGTACCAAAACCAAAGCAAAACACAAAGAGATGTAGAGAAAGGAAAGTAAGGGACATAGAAGATAAACCCTAAGGGTCTAAAAACCATCTAAAACGGTACTCAAAAAGGTGGCAAAGGAGCACCAATAAAGCAAGGTAATTAGTTCCTGAGATGAAGGCACAGCACTTTAGATTAAAAGCATCTATCAAGAACTTAGAACTGAGTAATTTAAAAAGATGTCCCAAGAAACACTCTGGTCAAATATCTAAATTCTGAAGATAAGAGAAAAATCCTGTAACTTTACAGAACAAAAAGGAGGTTAACTAACAATAATAAGAAAAAACTAGTATCAAACTATGCATTTGCAATAGTAGAAATTGTAACAAATGAACATTTACTTCAAAATCCTGTGATATAAATTTTTGGAACCTAAAAACCATTACTAATCAATTGACTGCATATTGAACAAGAGGATATCAGTCATATACATATAAGTTTGCTGACAATTAGTCCTTTTTTTCCCCTTAAAGAATTAATAAATTGGAGGCCAGCCCCGTGCCAAGCAGTTAAAGTTCTACGTGCTCTGCTTTGGCTACCTAGGTTCTCGGGTTCAGACCTACTCCGCTCATCAGCCATGCTGTGGAGGCATCCCACATATAAAACAGAGAAAGACTGGCACAGATGTTAACTCAAGGATAACTTCCTCAAGCAAAAAAAGGGGAAGATTGGCAATGGATGTTAGCTCAGGGCAAATCTTCCTCACAAAAAAAAAAAAAAGGAATTAAAATACAGTGAAGCAAAACAAGGAGGAAAAAAATGGAATACAACAAACGAAGCTGAGGGCTGGCCCCTTGGCCAAGTGGTTAAGTTCACGCACTCTGCTTCAGTGGCCCAGGTTTTCACTGGTTTGGATCCTGGGCACGGACATGGCATCACTCATCAAGCCATGCTGAGGCGGCACCCCACATGCCACAACTAGAAGGACCCACAACTAAAACTATACAGCTGTGTACCAGGGGGCTTTGGGGAGAAAAAGGAAAAATAAAATCTTTAAAAAAACAAAGCGGAGCAACAAAATAGCTTCAATTTTTGAAACATATTTATTTTCCAAGCTTTATAGTACTCTCTATAATAATACAGTAACTGTTAACTAAAATTCACATTTTTAAACAAAACCTGAAAGGTGGCCAGTATAAAAATTTGTAGAATAGTGATATCCTATCAATGTCTTCACTTGCTATGGTAGAATGCTATGGATATTCATCCTCAAATTTGAGAGATACAAGTTTTAAGAGTAGTATCTGAAAAAAACCAGGATATATAATATAGAAAACACAAGAAAACTCTAAAGTATAAGGCTTAATTAAAATGTCATCTAATGAGAAAAAACTAAAAAGATGTTAACGATAAGAACATATTCTCTATTTCTTATTATATATGAGATTACTTATTAAAACAGACTCCTATATTTACTTATATGCTACATAAGACACAGAAAGGTTAAAATAAATTGATAAATATATACACAAAGAAAATCCTAAACCCATACAATAGAATAATACATAACAATAAAAGTCAAAACTCAGCAAAACACAACATGGATGAACCTTCCAACTATATAACATTGTGCCCAAAAGACACAAAATACGATTTATTCAAAAGAGGGGCAACGCTAAACAAATATATACAGTATAAATATAAAAAATATATATATTTTATATTTACATAAAAATATAAAATATCAAGGATTATCAAAAAAGTCTGAATAGTAGTCTACTCTTTGGGGAGAAGAGGCATTGTGATTCAAAACACACAGCAGAGTTTGAGGTGCTGATGATGCTCTTATTAAATGACCTTGGTGGCAGCTACACAAGTGTTTCATTATAACAATTCGTTAAAGTGCACATGAACTGCTTTATGCAATTTTTTCTATACTACTCAGTAAGTTTTTTTCCAGTAAGTTACTTTCTAAAAAATGACAGAAATTCCCAAAATGGTACATTAATTTCAAATCAGTAAAATTCATGAAAAGGGCAGTCAAGAGGAACTTACTACCATGAAGACATAATAGTCATGAACCTTTATGTATGACAATATAGCATCAAAATAAATAATAAACATGTTTAAATACATCAAATCAAGAGTCAGGTAAACACCTGAATCAAAAGTCTCTTAGAAATGAACAATTATAAAACTACCACAAGAGTTAGAGGATAGATCCCAAAATTAGAAGTTGTACAGAAAATCCTCTCTGATCACAATTATGAAACTAGAAATTAACGATAAAATAGCCATACACACTCATGAACTATTCTCTTAAACGGAAAAGCACCCTTCTAAATAACCCTGCTATAAAGACATCAAAATTAATGTTCTATGACTACTGATAGGAATAATAAGAATAGTGTTAGATGCATATATTGGAAAAGATGAAAAAAGTCAAGCTTTCAGACTTAAGCTAGAAAAATAATCCAGAAAATAAAAACAAAAAGTGTATATATGTAATGATAAGCAAAATTTAAAAATTCATCTTTTCAGACTTTTTAATGCATTTCTAATATTCTTGTTAGAAAATACTGGCACAATTCTGGTTATTTCATATATATATATATATATATATATATATATATATATATATATATATGTATATTTTGGTGAGGAAGATTGTCGCCAAACTAACATCTGTGCCAATATTTTGAACGTGGGACACCACCACGGTATGGTTTGATGAGCAGCGTGTAGGTCTGCACCCAGGATTCAAATCCACAAACCCTGGGCTGCCAAAGCAGAATACGAGAACAGAAGCAGTACGCCACCAGGCCAGCCACTGGTTATTATATTTTGATATGACAGAATCTGTCAAAGTGCTTTAAAGATGTAGCGATGATCAATAAAATGAAACTAAATGTGAGGCAGCCCTAACAGCCTAGGAGTTAAAGTTTGGTTTGCTCCGCTGTGGCAGCCAGGGTTTGGTTCCCAGGTGCAGAACCACACCACTCGTCTGTCAGTAGCCATGATCTGGTGGCACCTCAGGTAGAAGAACTAGAAGGAAGGGCTTACAACTACGTACTGGGGTTTTGGGGAAGGGGGGAAAAAAAGAGGACAACCAGCAACAGATGATATTTCCCAGTAAAAAAACAAAAAGAAAACAAACAAAACCCTTAAAAATTGGTTTTTTGGTAAGTCTTAAAATAGGTAAGCCTTCGATTATCAAGTCCAACCAAGAAAACGGGAATAAGACTTAAGGACAAAAAAGAACAATATAATTATAGATATGGCATCCTTCTTACACTATTTAAATTGTTGAAGAACACAGCAAATATTATAACTTTGTAAATCATTCAAGAGCCCAGTATCTCTACAATACAAAAACTGGACAATGAGCAAGTCCAATCTCACTAATGAAGACATATGCAAAAATCTTAACACACTAACCTGCAATGTTTTAAAAGAATTCCACTGTGACCAAGAAGGGTATTCCAAGGACAAAAGACTGGTTCAACATAAGGAAATTAGCAATAGCTTTTATATACTCCAGCAGCAACCAAGTATGGGGAGGGTGAGGTGAGAAGAGGGATGACAATGACGTGGGCAGGACCATTTATAACTGAAAAATAGCTTTAAAATTACCAAAAATCAAGGAAGTTAGTTAGGTTTACTTCAGAAGAACGAAATACATGAACACAAATATTCCTAGATGGAAAGATTCAACATTATAAAGATGTAGATTTTTTTCCAAATTGATCTACAAATTCAATGTAACCAACCAATGCCAAGCAAACTCTCAACAGGGTATTTTATAAAACCTGACACATTCTAAATTCTTCCAGAAGAGAAAAAAGATATAAGCCTAACCAAGACAATATTTAAAAGGCAAAAACTGAAGGTCAACCTTCTCCATTAACAGTTATAAAGGCATCCAACAAATTCACTGTCTATATGCCAGATAAAAGCCACGGACACACATCAACAAGATGAAACACTCCTAAGCTCACAGAGTGTGGGTGAAGTAACAATGAAGTACACAAATGATTTTGAGATAAGTGCCCAAAAGGAAGTAACAAGTGCTATGACAGAAATTAACAAAACTAATTAAATAAGATCCCTTGGAGAAGGAAGAACAAGCCTCTTGGGCAGCTGTAAGCAGTTCAGATTTTTATTCCAAAAGCAACAGAAAGCTACAGAAGTGTTTTAAGAGTGACCAAAAAAAAGGGAAAAGTGACAAGACCTGGTTTACATTTTTAAAGTCACCATGACAAATCTTATCGAAACACAATAATCAGAACTGTGCTAGTATTTTGAAAAAGTGGATATTATAAATGCGTTAAAAAATTGAAAAGATGGATTTCCAGCTCTTGATAGATATCTCTATTCTTCTAACCATGGGGACCACTATCAGGAGCTAGAAATCCATCTGATTTCAGATGAAAAAACGCATGCATCAGAGTAACAAATACAATGGAATTCAACTGGCAAGAACATTGTATTCACGTACACATGAGTATCAATATGTAAATTATGTGTAAAAACAAAGAAAGAGGTCTATTCTAGAATGATACATACCCAACTACTGACATTGGTTGTCCTTTTTACTGAGTAAGGGAAAGACGAGTAAAAAGGGACCTACATGTTTAAGCCTACAAACTTCCAAAGGATTGACCTTAAAGATCTAACATATAAATATGAGAAAGTAAAGTCCAGGACTGCAAGGTCCCTGTACTGTTAACCTAGAATGGCACAGGCATAAGCAGGTACACAACAGAGAAGTAAAAGTGCATCACTGTTAATGGTCCTGAAACAGGGACGTTAGAATGCAAAGATACAAAATTGTTTCCTAAAGCTGTTACTTGTTTTATATATTAATTTAGTCACATGTCAACTAAAAGCAGTAGTAAGTAAATGATAGTTCACAAATGCTGTCTACGTTTACTTGAAAAGAATCCTTTAAATACAAAAAAAGGTCACTATCAAGATAAACTCACTGAAAGGCCTTCATCCTCCAAACTGGACATTATCTTGGAAGAAAGTTCCTCACAGCACAAATTCTCTTCTGCAGTTGCCACCAAAGCAGCACAGCGGGCAAATGCTCTATACAGTTCTGACCAAGTTCTAAGTAAGGTCTTCATGGTGGTCTAACAATAATAAAGAAGAAATTTCAAAACGTATACCTACATATCAAACATCTAATAAAATACACCTTTAACATTTTAAAAAACACTAACATTTAAGGTGTCATACAAGAGACTAGCGTAGGGTAGTAAGTTTGCCCCCCTCATGGAGTTGTAACTGAAGAATTATTATGATGCCACAGTACCAGCAATTATCAAATGTCAAGAGGAACTTCTATCTTCCTTCACCATTTTCCTTTCCCCAAGCTAATTAAGTCATAAGGTAGTATTATTTTAGGAAAAATTACTGTAGCAGTTCATTATAAAGGGTAAAATAATATTTTCAGAAAAATGCAAATTCCTCAAGTAAAAATTTGACATTGCCTTACCACTGGAAATTTCTGTACTGAAAAAATATGGTTTATTGGTAAAGTCAGTGCACCATAGATGGCACTAAAATTATGTTCTAAGGCATCACCTTGATTTACTTCATTGGTCTGAAACAAGAAAAATAATGAAGTTAGACAAATTACCATCTAACTCTAGTCATAAGTAGTAACACCTTGCTATGCGTAGTAAGTAGAACTGTCTCCTCCAATATTGAGATGGTCAAGAGACGATGAACTCCAAACCTCTGTAACTGAATCTGACTTTATTTGGAAATAGGGTCTTTGCTGATGTAATCAAGTAAAGATGAAGTCATGCTGGATTAGCATGGACCCTAAGCCAGTAACTGGTATCCTAAGAAAAGGGGAATTTGGATAGAGAAGACACACAGAAGAATGCCATGTGAAGATGGAGGCTGAGATTGGAGTGATGCGTCTACAAGCCAAGAAACATCAAGAATTACCAGTGACCACCCAAAGCTAAGAGAGGCAAGCAACAGATCTTCCCTCAAAGCTCCAGGAGAAACCAACCCTGCCAACACTCTCATTTTTGGATTTCTGGCCTCCAGAGCTGTAAGAGAATACATTCCTGTTGTTTAAGCCACCAGTTTGTGGTACTCTGTTACAGCAACCCCGGGAAACAATGCATTGTGCTTAAATCTTAAAACAGAATCCCAGAGGTGACTCCAAATTCTTTTACTATACAAAGAAGGTACTATTCAAGCAAGGACTTACAAAAAGGGCCTCTGTTATCCTTGTAACAATGGGAAACTACTTAGGACAGTAAACTTTTTTCTTTCAGAAAAGTATGTTTAATGGTATGTTGGTTTGAGTAGCCAAAATAAGGGCTAGGGCACTATCACATAATAAATTCTTAGGAGTCTTCCCTTTCTTTGAGTTACAGCAGAATATTTCTGAAACAATTATTTCCAATTAAAGATTGATAAAGCAGCTGACGAACCATTAATAATGACAGAACTTGAGCTCCATGCTCTGCCAATATTGCCACTTTAGTTAAGTATTTAAATGTACAATTTACTCAACAGATTACTGATTTAGGGACCACTATATAACTTTGAGATAATCACCAATGTGGCTTTACCATGGGAATCCTACAGATACACAATCTAGTCAAGATGACCATTATTCTTCTCCACAGTACAAACACCAAAAGAATCCAAGACATAAATGAGAATTTCTATGTATCATATGGGAGCCTTCTGGCATTATAATCACTACTGGAGAAAATGGACCTGTTTAGTCCCCATTAAGTTATACTTTTTTGAATAAGGCGGAAATGCAAATGAAAAGAACTCAACTAATCTAAAGAATAGAAAATTTAGCAATTCCACAGGAAAAAATATTTAACATCTTCTATTCAAAGTTCTATTCATTCCCCCATGTGCTCTAACAAGAAGCAAAAGGAAAATATTTCTTAAAGTCGGGGGGAAATATGTAGCAGACTTATATCATACCTGATTAATCAATTCAGTTAATGGGGTGACTATAATACTCCACATTCTCCAAAGATGCTCCTTGTTTTCCAGCTGCTTTGCATTTTGATTAATAACATTTAAAACAGAGTCACTGAAAGCTAGTGGTGAAGTTGGACCAGAAAGAACACAGCCTACAAGTGTTTCCAGATTGAGAAAAAACCTAAAGAAAAAATTGTGAATCATGCATTATCATGTACTTTTTGCCAAAATACAATAATTACACTATTAGAAAATTCTAAAAGTAACTGACAAGGAAACAAGAAATGATGAAATCCAAGTCTCCTTTCAATTTTTTAATTTTTAGAAAATTTATGATATAGCATAACTGAAAAAAATCTGATTCAGCACATAAAGTTTTCAAGATAAAAGACCTAAAGAATGGTTTCAGTTTAAATTACCTTTCATCTTCTACACATTTCAAGAGATTGTTGTTGAAAATTAATTGAATTAAGAACAAAGCAGGAGTTCCCTGAAGAAAGATGGGAGATTGTAGTCAATCTTCTTGTTACATTTGTTTTCTACAGTCAATTATGTGAAATACGATCCTTTTAAGCTTGAGAAATTTCACTTTTGACATTACTTATATGATAAAAATGACAGCAAATTTATTTCCATAAACTGCACACAAAAATGAAGCGCTTTATATTTTAATCATAGCTATTCCATCTATATGAGCAATAGAGGAATGGTGAGTGATTCTAGGTATAAAAAGAACATCAACTTAAAACTTGCTGGACCTATAACCTGCAGATATTAAGTACAATTCACCATAATTAAGCCAATGTTACTAGCTTCCAAAATTCTTAACAGTAACCAGCATTATTATTACGTACAAGCCAACAGAAAACTTTCCTTCTGGAACCCCTTGTTTAATCCAAGAAAACAGTTCCATTAATAGTGCCATATTTAACTCTTTCCATTAATCTATTACTTTGTCTATCACTTTTTTCCTTTAAACCTAATCAGCATATCCAAATCCAATTCTTTCAGAATTTTATAACCTAAGTTTAAGAAAAGGAAATATGATGGAACTTTTCTTTTGTGGCTAATTTCAATCATACCATCACATTTAAGATACTTGCATTAAGAATATCCATATTAGCAACCTGATATGCTGGTGAACCTAATACTTTCTGAGGAAGTCCTTTAATTGTAATTTCCATGAGGACCTAAGAAAGATAAAAGGTTTTATTGTAAAACAGGCACAAAAATAGTACTTTAGTGACAATCTAGCGGTATTAATTACATTTTTAATTTAACAATTTATTATGAGAAATGCTCATTCATGAAAGGTAAATATATTCTCATTAGTTCAAAAGTAGTAACGTTTATATATTTAATGTGAATACATCTGCATTAGTTTAAAAAGTTCTAAATACAGAAATATAAAAAAATAAAGTGACAAAATCCTTATTTATCTCCAGGGATAATGCTATCGGTTTAGAATTTATTTTTCTAGACTGCCTAGATTTCCATGTATATAAATAGAAAGAAACATAACTTGTTGAGCTGGCTGTCATATTCTTTTATGCCATTAACGATGATATACTGTGAGGTACTCTAGAACTGATCTTGTTCATCTTAATGTGTTACGGAGTTTTTACATTAATAAATGAAGACACATTCCTAACTGCTAGAAGACACATTCCTAACTGCTATACGGAAGAGCACAGTTTATTCAAACATTTTTCTATTAATGGCCCTTGAGGTTGTTTCTATTTTATAGTACAAAAAGAACTTCTACAATGAATTATGTACTCACTAGTGCCAGAAGCAAATATTTTAAAGGACTGCTAACTAGAAGCTGGGTCTAAGACACGCCTCTCAAATGTGACAAGAGCTTACCAAACAGCTATCCAAAAATATTACTATACTGGCATTAACCTGAACTGTAAAACTTCACAACGATAGGACAAAAAAGGGTTATGCCAGTGAAAATACGCTTTCACATATTCTCATTTGAAGCAGACACTAATGACAATAGTAAATAGCATTTGTTAACTCATTTCTTTTGTTCCAGGCCGATATTGCTCTGCAAGTATCGACTCATATAATTACAAAGACTACATTCCCTCTTTACAAAGAGGCAAGAGAGTAAAGAAATTGCCCAAGTTCACTCAGCTAATAAATAGCTGGGCTGAGATTCAACCTTCTCTGCTCCAGAGCCCTTGCTATTAACCACTATGCTCTACTGTCATCATAGATATCACTGTCATAGAACATAAAGGAAAGAGACTCAGAAAGAATTTTGGGAGATTATTACAGAAAGTACAGGTGGCACAGTGGTTAAGTTCATGTGCTCCACTTCAGTAGCCCAGGGTTCACGGGTTTGGACCCTGGGTGTGGACCTACACACTGCCTGTCAAGACACACTGTGGCAGTGTCCCATATACAAAACAGAGGAAGATAGGCACAGACGTTAGCTCATGGCTAATCTTACTCACCCAAAAAGAAAAAAAGTCTGGTGAGCCAGCCCACATGGCCAAAGGGTTTTAAAGTTCGGCTCTCTCACCACTTGGGTGGCCTGGGTTCATTTCCCAGTCACAGAATCACACCACCTGTGAGTAGCCATGCTGTGGCAGGGACTCACATAGAAGAACTAGAAGGACTTACAACTAGAATATACAACTGTGTACAGAGGCTTTAGGGAGGAAAGGGGAAAAAAAGGTATAGTCAATTTGCTTTTTCTTTACCATATAGAACAAAAATGGTGTTTAATACCAAAATCATTAAATGCAAAAGCTCCAAGAGATAGTTAGTAGGTATTTTTTTAAAAGGTACAAACAATTAGTGAAGCTCAGCAATTCTGTCACAAAATTAGTGGTCATCTGAGTTTACTTCAGTTCAAGTTTCATGTCCTTTACCCTATTTTCTCCATATGGCTTATTATTTTTCTTAACACATTGACAGATTTTTGTAGTTGCTGTTGTCGTTTACTTCACTAAGGTTTCAAATGACTCTAAGGTCAATGGAATAGCCATTTATTACTCGGCTGAATTGCTGATAAATACTTAATATCAAATGTCTACCAGAATCCTGATCTGTGCAAATATCTTCAATGTAAAACGCAATTTGAGAATACAGTACTTAAATTCCAGCATATAGGTGTTATACTTACCAGTGTTTTCGATACAGGAAATACTTCTGACTTCACTATGCTTTCCAAAGATTTTAAAAAGAGAGTCAAAACTTCAGAACCTGGTCTCTCTTTTTTGTTACCTAACAAAAAGCAAAAGGAGGGGTGTAGGTAGTTCTAAACATGTAAGTATTTTAGGGGTGAAAATACAGTATTTTTAAGAGTGAAAATACACACAGTTACAAAAATTTAATGTAACTCAACAGTGTTTTGTTTAAAAGTAAAGTCTGAAAGCTATGATACTTCAAAAATGATTGTAAAATAAATTTTATATATGAAAGCCAAACAATTTGCTGAGTGCTATAAAGATCATTTGATCAGTGTTATAGTGCTTACCTGATTCAATAACTGACTTCACCAAGCTAATTAGTTCCTTCCAAATAGCATTGACAACTGCATCTGTCAAACAAAATAAAAAGAACTTTAGAATGAAGAAGATGACCATAAAACACTCTCCCTTTCATCTCTGTACTAAAAAAAAATCTGAGCAATACTTAAATAGCAAACTATTTAATTTTTGAAATTTCTTCTCTTCATTAATTGATAGGTTTTAGAACACAGGAGTTTAGGTGTAGATGCTGGAGCCACAGAGCACAGGTTTGAATCACTTATTATCTGACTTTGCACAAGTTATTTATGCCTCTGTACAATGAAACTTCCTCACCTGCAAAACGGACTAAACACAAAAGGTTACTGTGAGGATTAAATGAATTACATGTAAAGTGCTTGAAGCACAATCTGACCAATAGGTGGCATGATATAAATATTTGCTTCTTATTTCTTTTTAATCACAGGTTTAAACAAATAAAAAATCTCTCAAATACTTACCAGAAGCATCTTTTCCAACTGCAACAAAGCTATCATGAACAGCAGTGATAAGTGTATTTGCATGCTTGGAAAAAAAAGAAGAGCTGCTGATTAACGGATGTTCGAGTGGTTCTAAAAGAAAAGAAAAGAGACTTATGCAAAACTAAAGCTTTACGAAATAAATTTCTCAATATAAAATTTTGGGCAGTCCGATGTTTTCTATTAAAAAGATTTATACTTATTTTATACATAATTAAAAAATATTTTGGCTGGGGGAAAATAACACCTCTCCTCATCCCAAGGCACTGTGTTCTGAACTGTTTTAATAATTGAAATTATCTGAAAAACAATTAAATACCTAAGCTCAATACAAGTTTGTTTTGCTTAGCAAAATTCAAGACTTCTGGACCCAACAAAAAATGAAGCAACATTTCAAGTCCCAAAAGTTGAATAGAGGGGATTGTGGCCATTCCACCAAAATTGGAATTCAAGTTCATCCGGGGAGTTACAGGAGATCCATATGCCGAGGCACCTTAAAAAAAGAAAAGTTATTTAAGCTTAAATTAGCTATCCCAATGAATATATTTCATTCATTTCTACAAAATATACCTTTAAAAGTAAATAGTTTGTGTCTCAAATAAAAGTTGAGAGTTTCTGTTTAAGGTCCACAAGAGTTCCTAATCTTACTTGGTTAAGACCCAGATTAGTGTCACACATCATGTAAACAAAGACAATTCTCAGGTATCATTCCATACCTGGAAATATTAATCTGCAGACATTCCGGAGCCTTAAATAGAAAATTTGACTCAGAATAGCTAACATAAAATAATAAATAGCAAATAACTTTCTTTCAATGGTATACATACTAAGCCACATTTCTTAGATCTGTTAAGGTCTGTTCTTTTTAATAAAAGCCCTAGGATTCTGGTTCTGAAACAAATACAACAGTCTGTAATGTATCTCACATAACGCAGTGGAAAAAAGTTGATCTTTTCCAACAATGTAATTATAGCAGTAAACCTAACAGACACAGGAAAAAAATCATCAAGAATATATGATGGATTTTGTGATAAGGGGGCCAAAATTATGAAGTGCTTTATTTTATGTGAATAACACTGAGCAAAACCTTCACTCAAAGCCTTTTTAGAAAAAGAAAAAAAACAAAACCAAGTATGTCCACCTCTTACCCTTGTGCACAGGAGTCCCAGGGTTTACACCTGGAGAAGGCGCTGCACGAGATGAACCGCCTTGAGGTGCAGCGCTGGAGTCGATACTGACTGTGCTTTGAATCAGAGGAACACAAACCTATCGAGGTTAAAAACAAGGGCAACGATCTGTAAACTGCACAAGTGCCATATTTTCTTCAAGTCTTGCATAATACAGTTAAATTTCTTTAAGAAGCAGTCTAAATTCTTTTGATATGTTGAATTTTATTGGCTACTTCGATGCACAGGCTAAAAACTGAAATTTGGAAAAATGAAATTTTTATTACAACTGTATTTGCCCTAAATGTATACTATCTATAAATTTCAGTTCTAAATCCCAGACAGAAAATTATACACAAACAATTTTGCAAATAACATCTACCTGAGTTCGAATGCTGTTGGTAGACAGACTTGTTTTAACTTTAAAAGAAATTTTTTTTTTGAGGAAGAGTGGCCCTCAGCTAACATCTATTGCGAATCTTCCTCTTTTTGCTTGAGGAAGACCGTCACTAACATCTATGCCAATCTTCCTCTATTTTCTGCAGGATGCTGCCACAGCATGGCTTGACAGAGCAGTGCTAGGTCTGCACCCAGGGTCCAAATCTGTGAACCCCAGGCCACTTAAGTTGCAGCATGTGAACTTAACCACTACGCCGCCAGGCTGGCCTGTTTTAAACTTTTTAAAAACACACCCTAAGAAAATAGGAACTAAGACAACTTCAAGCTCATTTCTAAGATTAATCCAGTATCAGTCAAATCTATCCAATGAATAAATTACACTAATGAATGTGTGGGACAACTGGGTAAGATTAGCCTACTAGGACCTTATAATGGTAGAATCTAGAAAAATTATGATCCAAATTACATATTACTATCAATGACCACTTTCACTTAGTCATGTTCTATCAAGTTTAAAAGCCTTAAAATATTAACTAAAACTTTAAAAAGAACTTGCTAAAATATTCAAGTATATTTATTATAAGTCCTCCTTTACAAGAACACTCACTGCAATGCAGTTATTTATACAGACTAGAAGACAAGGACTACAGATCCAAAAGTAAAATATACAGTCAGGTGCCATATAACGATGTTTTGGTCAACGACAGACCACATATATGACAGTGGTTCCATAAGATTAGTACCATACAGATTAGGTGTATAGTAGACTATATCATCTATGTTTGTGTTATAAGTACACTGTACAATGTTTGCACAACAATGAAACTGCCTAACGATGCATTTCCCAGAACTGATTCCTAGTGTTAAGTGATGCATGACTATACTCCAAAATCCAAGATAAGCAATAAAGAAATGAAAAAGATAAATGCGGAGCCGGCCTGGTGGCATAGTGCTTAAGTTCACACGCTCCACTTCACTAGCCTGGGGTTCGCCAGTTCTGATCCTGGGCATGGACCTAGCACCGCTTGTCAAGCCATGCTGATGTGGCATCCCACACAGAAGAACTAGAAAGACCTACAACTATGTACTGGGGCTTTGGGGAAGAAAAGAAAAAAAGAGGAAGACTGGCAACAGATGTTAGCTCAGGGCCAATCTTCCTTAACAACAACAAAAAGCATACCTTAAAAAAAAAAAAAAAGATAAAAGTTACCAGAGCTATCTTTTTTTACTTAACTGTAAAAAAATTCAGAAACCAAGGATGGATTAATTGCAAAGACAAAGAGGTATGAGTAAGATTGAGTCTTACAGTGAAATGCCAGGAAGGATATAGAAATTTAAAGGAATTTGTAAACTCATTTGTAACAATAACTGAAAAGCTATGATGGGAATAAAATGACTGGTTATCACTATGCAGGCTAGAAAAGAACATACAAAAAATAAGAATTAATCCAACTTTATATCTACCCAGTGTTGCACCTGATTCCTGTATCAGTAATGGTGATTCTACATTCAATTATAAGAACAGATATTTGAGAGTACACTGATTGAACAAGCTTTAGCAGCTCCGTGTCACACTTGAGGGAAATGAACTCAAGTTCTCTGTCAGGGAAAACAAAAAGATCTTTTATACACTGTGGTCTGCTAAGACATAGCAAAAAACAACACCGAAACATTAGATTGGTAAGAATTTAAGACTACACTAATAAAAAGACACATACAGTATTAGAGTCAACGCTTTTAACGTTACCTGTTCAAAATTAGCAGGAAGATGAGGTCCAAGTCTCATCAATAAATACCACCAGACTTCTAGTTTTGTTAGCGCTAGACTTTCTGTTCTCACATGGATGGAACTCAAAGGCTGCATTAGCAACTTCAGTCTTTTTGCACTACATAGTATTTCTTAAAAGAAAATAAAATAAGCACCCAGGTAAAATCATTTAAGAGCTAAAGATTAATTTTAAAAATGAGTATGCAATAGTCTCCTTTTACAATAGCAAGAAAACAGATTTTAAAAAATTGTTTTTAATCACCAGCTGTTCCTGTTCCAGCCAAAATTTTCACTTTGATCAACTCCAGGGACATTTGGCAATGTCTACAATATTTTTGGTTGTCACAACTGAAAGGCAAGGGTATGAGAGAATGCTATTGGAATCTAGTGGGTTGCATTCAGGGACGCTGTTGAACTTCCTACAATACACAGGCAGTCCTCCACAACCAACTGTCCAGCCTCAGATGCCAACAAAACATTAAGAAACTCTGTCCAAGCTGACAGTAGTTGCATTACCCTCATTACAGATAAAAAATAGAGGCAGATTTTTACATTGTCAAAAAAGTTGTCACTTTAAAAATTTACTAGTAATTTATTTTATCAAACATTATAAGTACTGGTGCTACTAATTAAATTTTGGAAATCTAAACAGATTCTTTTAGATTCAAGTCTACAGGTCTTACTCTACATCAATAACCAGAATGTTACAATTCAGCATAAAAATTAAATCCAATTCTTTAAACAAAATATTTATACCAGAAGTGTGTCTATGTGAGTGTGACTGAAGATACATAAAATAAGACAGTCTGTGCTCAAGTAACTTATTAAAAAGACTTAAAAAGGATTCTGAAACATCTGTCAAGCCAGGCATTTGGCAGGACGGCATTCATCAATGTTCCTTACAACTATTCTGCCGTTAGGCGTTCAATTAACATTTCCATAAGAAGAAAATAAAGTCAGACTACCACTGTGGGAACAAACCTTCTAATCCTTTTTGAACTCCACTCTACTTGTGAGAGGAGCTTCACAATAATATCCCTATGGCAGAGATTGCCAATTGCCATGCAATAATCCTCCTCTTTTGGTTACAAGAACTGCTTTCACTCAGTACAGCGATGGATGCCCAATTTTTGACTTATCTATTCTCCCATTTAGCCACTGTACCCAAGGAGATTTAAGGGGAAGTGTACATGGAATTTCTGAAATGCACTTTACAGATAGCTGGCTCAGCTGGGAAGAAGTTCATTTCTGCTCTCTGCCTTCCCTCCTTTCTGTAGTCTACAGGTAAGGCATACTGAAGATGAGAGAACAAAGACCAGCTGTCTGATTCCTTAATGACTTCCTGGATCCATAATACCAGTCATACCAGACTCTCTAGCTCTGGACTTATTTCAAATGAGATAGCATTTTATTTATTTTCTTTAAGCCACTCCTACTTTATGCCTTAACATTCAACCATACATAATTCCAACATATCTAGTCCTGAACATTACCTCACTTTGCCATTTCATAAACAACAAAAAAAGGTGATATTTCCAATTAAAATCTGTGCCTGGCAATGCACTTCTACCAATATTTTCAATAAAAGTAATTATACTTAATGTAAATAATCACTTTACAAAACACACTAAAAGGGGGAAGAAAAGAGATTATTAATGGTATTTGGCAACAGAAAATATAAGATGCAATCAGCATTACTTACCAGATCTTGCAAATATACAGTATTAATTACACCTAAGATTAACTACCCAGTTTAGTAGGTACCAATACTGACTCACTTTGGGGCAGTGTACTCTTTCTTGTATATATCTCAAACACCTCCACTGGACAAGAAGATGATAAGATTAAAGTAAATCAAAAGGTATCAGTTCTATCTATTAACGTTAAACCCACTATTAGATACTGTTTTAAAGGTCCTGAAAGGAAAAAGTTCATCTCTCAATGATGCTTTTATTCCACAGCAATCACAATTGTTTCCTATCATCTACTGGCTATGTGACTGCTAAATTATTTGATCTCTCTAAACCAATAATACTTAGCATCTTAGGTCCACTGTGATGATCAAATGAGAGGTACATAAAGTGCTCAACTAAGCACTGGAACATACTAAGAAAGCCACAAATAGTAGTTGTCACTTTGTTCAGTTTTTCAAATAGCTTAAAATAAATTTTATATCTGTGATTTTCAATAATGTTCAGCCTTTGAATTCTATTTTTAGCTACAAATTTATTCTCTTAAAATAAGAAAATAAAAGGTTAAGTTTCAATATAAAGTCAAAAAAATCAGATAAGCTTTGGGTTTTTCATCTTGCTTAAGTAAAAGTCATAGAAAATTGAAATTTTAAAATATTACTTACCTGGGTTTAAAGCAAAATTATCTATTAAACTCTTCCAGGCAATAAAAGCTATTTTTTTAATCATGGGTGCGCCACTACGAAATCCTAGTTCTTCCAGCTGTAACAGAGAATTAATGAAACTCCCACTTCGATGCAAGGTCTAAAAAGGAAAAATCATTAACAAGTTATTTACCTGCCTGAAACAATATATAGGTATCATTATCATTCATTTAGCTAATTCACTCAGTGTTAGCTATATAAAGTCTTAGGAATTTAAATTTTAAAAAGTACTGAATTCTGTATGCACGTTCAAAATTCAAGATAAAAAAATATAAAGCTCTATGAAGCAGGTAATGCATAACACATTAGAGAAACATCAAAACATTGGAGAAAATGAGGAAAGTAAGATAAATCCCAAATTTTACCAATACTAAAAAACAAAGAACAGATATCCCTATGGAAACAGAGAATAAATATTAAAGAAAAAAATGAGAAATGTTGAACCCTGAAACTAACAAAAAACAGTCTTTTCAAATACACTGACATAAGCAGGAAAAATAAGGGAAAAATGAATAAATGACAAGTACACAATGTATCTCAAGAAAAAACTCTATAAAAAGATAAAACATTAACAGTCCTAAGTGGCTATAAACCACATATAATCAGAACAGAATGTAAACAATAACCAAAAACACCCAGCTTAGAAAATCACAAAGAATCTGCCAGAAAGCTAATAGAGCCAATGAAATAAATTCAGCAGGTGCAGAGTACAAGATCAATGCATGAAAATCAGGTGTGTTTCTACACAACAGCAAGGAATAATCTGAAAAGTAAATTAGAAAAGCAATTCCATTTACAATAGCACCTAAAATTAAATACTTAGGAATAAATCTAATCAAGGTGGTCAAAGACTTGTACACTAAAACCTATATAAAGTATTGCTAAAAGAAATTTTAAAAGACTTAAATGGAAAGCCATCCTTCATGGATAGGAAGATTTAATAGTATTAAAATGTCAATACTACCCAAAGGAATCTACAGATTCAACACAATCTCTCTCTAATTCCAACGACCTTTTCACAGAAAAAGAAAAGCTGATCCTCAAATTCATTATGGAATTGCAATGAGCCCCAAACAGTCAAAACAATTTTGAAAAAGTATAAAGTTGGAAGACTCATACTTCCTTGACTTCCAAACTTACGACAAAACTTCAGTAATTAAAATATATGGTAATGGCATAAGGACAACCATACAGACCAACAGAGATCCCAAAAATAAACCCTCGTATATACTGTCAATCGATTTTGGACAAGGGTACCAACACCATTCAATAAGGAAAGAACAGTACTCAACAAATAATGCTGGCAAAATTACATATCCACGTACAAAAGAATGAAGATGGATCCTAGCCTTATAGCATATACAAAAATAAACTCAAAATGGATCAAAGATCAAAACTTATGAACTAAAACTACAAAAAATCCTAGAAGAAAACACAGGGAAAAAAGATTCATGATATTGGATTTGGCAACAACTTAATGTATATGACACCAAAAGCACAGGCAATAAAAGAGAAAATAGTTATCTATTTACCTAATTTACACTGGACTTTGTCAAAATTAAAAAGTTTTGTGCATCAAAGGATACTATCAAGGAAGCAAAAAGACAACCTACAGAATGGGAAAAAAATTTGCAAATCATGTATCTGATAAGGAATTATATCCAGAACAGATAAAGAACTCCTACAACTCAACAACAACAAACAACCCAATTCAAAAATGGGCAAAGGCTTTCCTGTTGTTGGTTGCATGGAGTCTGCTCCTGGTCTCAGAGATCCAAAAATTTAGGGCTTCTTTGCAGCTGTGCAGCCATCGTCATGCCAGAAAATGAATATAATTTTACATCATATATGCTATGGATATTACTTGGATTATTATGAGAAAAAGAGAAAGAAGGAGCATCAAGAGGCTCATGAATGTTCAAAGACAGACACACATGACTGGTCTGAAGGCTAAGCTCTATCATAAACAGAGCCATGCTGAGAAAACACAAATGAAAAATACTAAATGAGGGGCTGGCTCCGTGGCCGAGTGGTTAAGTTCGCGAGCTCCGCTGCGGCGCCCCAGGGTTCGCAACCTGGGCGCGGACATGGCACCGCTCATCAGGCCACGTTGAGGCGGCGTCCCACATCCCACAACTAGAAGGACCTGCAACTAAGATATACAACTATGTACGGGGGGGTTGGGAAGGTAAAGCAGAAAAAAAAAGACTGGCAACAGTTGTTAGCTCAGGTGCCAATCTTAGGGGAAAAAAAAGAAAAGAAAAATACTACCAAGATGCATGAAAAGAGAAATACCAAACAAAAGAATGATGAAAAGACTCCACAGGAACAGTACCTATCTATCTGCTGGACACAGAGGGACAGTCTGGAGCTAAAATACTTTCAAATATGGTTAAACAAAAACAAAAAGAAAAAGCAGGAATAAGGAAAGACCTTCTACCCAAGGTTCACGCTCAGGGAGAAACAAATCTTAAAAGTTATTTGAACAGGAAAAGAGAAAGAACAAAGCATCAAAGAGGTTGGTTACTAAAGCCTGCTCTGTTGGAAATGGCTTTTTGTGAAAACCACCTAAATATGAAAGATTCATTAGGCCAATGGGCTTATGTTTCAAGGCGGCCCATGTAATATATTCTGAAATCAAAGTCACCTTTTGCCTGTAAATACACGGTGTAAAGAAAAATCTTTTGTCTCCACTATATACAACTTTTGGGTATTACTACCAAAGATATGGTCATTGAGGTGAATGTGAGCAAGTGAGGCCTTGTGAAAGGAGACAAGGTTATTCGGGGGCAATATGCCTAGGTTACTAACAATCATGAAAATGACGGATGCATAAATGTAGTCTTATTGGCTTGACAACAGTCTCATACAAGTAACTCCTTATGATTATTGAAGACTACACACCAGTTACGAAAAACTACCATTATTGTGATGTTTCTGAACACTACCCAACAGTCTTACATGTCCACAATCATCAAGAAAACTATTTATTATATTGTACAAAACATTAAAATGGCCCAATTTTACAAAAAGAAAGAAAGAAAGAAAAAAACCCAACACATTTCCTGGAATGGCTATTATCAAATAAAGGGAAATATGTTTTGGTAGGGATGTGGACAAACTGGAACTCTAGTACATTACTAGCAGGAATGTAAAACGGTGCAGCCACTATGGAAAAGTTTGGAGGTTTCTCAAAAAGTTGAACATAGAACTACTACTGGATGACGCAGCAATTCCCCTCTTATGTGTATATCCAAAAGAACTAAAAGCAGAGAATCTAACAGAGTATTTGCACATCAATGTTTGTGGCAGCATTATTCACAACAGCCAGGAGGGGAGAATAGGCAAAATGTCCGTAAAAAAATGGATAAACAAAGTGAGGTATATACACACAATGAAATCTGAATACATGCTAAACATGGGTAGACCTTGAAAAAATTATGCTTAGTGACATAAACCATTCGCAGAAGGGAAACAGTGTATGATTCCACCTATATAGGGTACCTAGAATTAGCAAATTCACAGAGACAGGAAGTAAAACAGAGGTTACCAGCAGCTGGAGGTACACGGGCAGAGGGAGTCATTGCTTAGTATGTATAGAGTTCCTGCTGGGGACGATGAAAAAGTTTTGGGTATAGACAGTGGTGTTGTTTACACAACTTGTGAATGTATTTAATATCACTGAACTGTACATTGGGATGCTTCTTTACATTTGTTTACCACAATAACAAAAAACACATTCCCTCCCCTCAAAAAAAAATCTGGCTTAAAGACAGAATACACAATCAATTCTCATTATTCACTATAGTTATATTCTAAAGAGTTGCCTTGAACATTGTCTTAGTGAATACTGAGCTATCACTCCTAGGGAAAAATGCAAGGTTAGGTTCCTGGGAGTCTCTGGTCACATTCTAGTCAACCAATCAATACGTAACCTTCTTTTATGTTTATTTCTGTTTAATGACACCTGATTTAATTTCTATCACTGATTCACTAACATGGAACTCACAGGCAAGAGAAGTGTAGCTTACACCTGAACAAAGCTTTTCTAAAATACACATTTTCTCCCTAAGGCACGTCACAGCCTTTCAGTGCTTTGGAACCATAGATGGCACTTCAGCACTACAGCTGGGGGACATTTAAAAATGAAATCACCAAGTAAAAGCACAAAAAGTAAAAAATGTGGCACTAAATGAATCATGAGAAGGACATTTGTTTAACAGACATTGAGAAGTGAAACAAAAAGGCAGAGCATAACTTTGCTCAACCTCAGCTGGGAACATGCACACACTGGGAAACTCAAATTTTTTGCCACTCTTCAAGTCTGCAATTGCAAAAGCAGCACAACTAACGATGTCGGGTTTACAAATACACTTTAGTGAGCAGGCAAATCTGCATATGTGGCACATAAGACGAACGAGGATCGACCGTACTATGGAAAGTTAAAGAAATGAAAAGGCCTGGTAGGTAGAAATTAACTCTTCATTAACTGTGGACTTACCTTCCCAAGAAGTTTGACAAACAAAGGCCATAATTTTAACACGTAAGTCTCATTTTTACTCATAAATAGCTTTTGGAGTTCTGAAAGTAATTTCTGCAAACAAAAGCAAAAATATTTACCACAAAGGCTCTTGGAAAGGGAAAAAAAATGCAAGTTTGTCAGCCAAATAACTTTTCCCAATTTTTTTTAGGAAGACTTTCATGCATATAGAAAGCTGAAGGAGTTTTACAGTAAATGTCCAATGTAAATACCATTAAAATTTCATTATGTTTGTCTTATCACATACCCGGCCATCCTTCCATCCATCAATACAGCTTTTTTTTCCCTACAATATACACTTTCCCCTAAAAACTTCAGCATGTATATCATTAATGTGAGTTCAAATGATGATGTTTGAACTTCTTACTCTAAAAACTTTAAAAATATATCAAGAGCTTCAGGAATAATAGACATCTGAGAAAATTTTAGTTTAAACTGATAAAGAGTTTTATATATGCGCTTAAAAACTTAATAAACTGATGAGAATAAAAAAAACTCACATACAGACGTTGGAGTTACTTTTTTAGACCCCAACATTACCATGCCGCCTCTTGAATTTGAAAAAATAAACAAAACCCCAGGTTTTAGAATCTGGAAGGCTCCTTCACTGCCTGGATTACTACAGTATGTCCTAACTAGTTTCCCTGCTTCTACTGAGCTCCCTTCTAGAGTCTATTCTCAACATAGGCAAAGTGAGCCCTCTAAAACCCAAGCCAGTACATATCATCACTCCTACACTTGAAACCTTCAAACATGGCTTTCAGTATAACCCAGAGTGAAAACCAAATGCCTTACAACGGCCCCCAAGGTCCTATGTGATTTAGCTGTTTCCCTGCCATCATCTCCTACTCCTCTCACCCTCATTCACTCTGCTATCATACTGCCTCTGCCTAGTTGCTGAAAACCACCATCAAAGCATGGCCATTTGCTCTGTTGAACTGCTTACTCCACTTTATCAAAAGAGTGAACACCTGTATCATCTTCAAATCACTGTTCAAATATCCTATTCTTTTTCCTTCCCTGACCACCTCAGCCTTCCTGTCCAATGGCACTCTCATCCAGTCCCTGCTGTTCATAATGCTGTTCTCCAAAATGCTCTTCTCTTACCATACTATATATTTTATCTCTCCCAATAGAAAAAAAGCTTCACAACAAGTTCCTTTTGTTCACAGCTATCTTCATAGTGCCTAAAACAATGCCCAGCATATAACAGGTGCTCAATAAATATTTGTCACAAGAACAAAGGTTGAAAAACCTAAAACCTGGGGCAAGTATAGTCCACCCTTACATGCAGACGATAAATTCCAAGAACCCCAGTGGATGCCTGAAATGACACATAGTACCAAACTCTATATATGCTGTTTTTTCCCTATACATGCATACCTATAATAAAGTTTAACTTATAAATTAGGCACAGTAAGAAATTAACAATAACTAATAATAAAATAGGACAATTATGACAACATACTGTAATAAAAGCTACCACAGATCTTAGCAACCTCAGCATGCAATTTTTTTCTTTCAATAATTAAGTCAAGAAGTTTCCCCTTTTCAAGTTAAAGGAAACATTTTCAGAGCTTCTCTGGCATATCCAAAATGCCAGCATCACTACTCTCGTGCTTTGGGACCATTATTAAGTAACGTAACTGTTACTTGAACACAAGCATCACAATACCACAACAGTTGATAAAACCAAAATGACTACTAAGTGACTAACATACAGGTAGCGTAAACAGTGTGGATCCCCTGGACAAAGGGATGATTTATGTCCCAGACAGGAGAGCATGAGATTTCATCACACTCTCAGAACAACATGCAATTTAAAACTTATGAACTGTTTATTTCCAAAATTTTCCATTTAATATTTTTGGACTGAAGTTCACCACAGATAACTGAAACTGCGGAAGGTGAAACCATGAATAACAGGGGTCTACTGTAACAGCTTTAGGAAATTGTACACACTAGATGGACTTACATGCATTAAATTAATATCTACTGGGATTACACTCTAACAACCCAAATAGCACTGAATCAGTTAATGGTCTCCATTTTCCAAAAATTCAATCCCTTTTCAATCACCATCCATTTATGGGGAATGGGGCAAAATGCTGGGATCAGAGAAACACTGCAATCCAGACAGACAGCTCCTTTCCTTATGTAATGTAGGAGCAGTGTGTCTACACTAACTTAAGCAATTCTTTATGTTTTAATTCAAAGAGGAACTTCATATACCATAGTGCAACAAGGCAGCATCCAAAAATCCTTACCTAAAGTAATACTTACGGTAGTCATAAGCTGCTCTGTGATAGATGCTATTTCTTGTTGTTTCTGAAGCAACAAAGGCATTCCCATCTCTAGAGCAGTTGCTCCCCGCAAATGTACCTTTTGGGCTGAATGAACCACTAAAGGTATAACCAGTTTTGCCCACCTAATTGACTCTTCTCCCATTTGAACTGGGGCTTGTTCAATTAGCCTATAACAGAGAAATCAATGAATAAATTAGCTTGACCTTACCTTTTAGGGTTAAACTAACAGGAAAATAAATAGAACACAGAAATATACATACTATAGCCCATTTCTTTTAGAATGCATACATGTATGTATATACAGACAAAAAAACCAGTCTAATTTTTACTTGCTAATTTGGAGTTTTCTGTGTTATTTTTATAAATTTCTTAAAGAAGGAGAACACATCATTTTGTCTTCAGGTTAAAAAAATTTTAGTACTAATTATTTTTATACAATTAAATTCAATGTTCTCACAGGAGAGGACAGCCAGAAAACTATGATATAATGTGAGCATCACTTAGGGCATCAGAACACTAAGTAGTTAAACAAATAGCTCAACAACTAAAGAAAACTTTAAAAGAAAGAAAAACAAGGTAAGACAAAGCATATCAACAAAGAGTTTGTGCTGTTAGTACGTCTGTTATGAAGAGCAGGGATAGGTAGGAAAAACATGGGGATTTTCCTGTTCTCCTATCTGCTGCTAGACAATGTTAATGCCCTCACCCTATACATCCCCTACAGCCCACTTAGGAATCTATATTATTCCTTAAACTCTTGCAAAAGCTTTAACAGAAATAATTTTTAAAACCAGAACCATATTAGCAGCAGCAGCATAACTAAGACTTTATTTTTAAGACTGTCTCAGCAAAAATAAACCAAGAAATCTAGTAACTTATGCACAACTACTTCCTTCTTCCTGTTACCTTTTTTCTTGAGACTTTTAGTTTAAAAGACATTTCCTTCTTTCAACATCTAACTCAAACTCATGTCACAAAAGTCCACTCTCAGAAGTAAATTCTAACTTTACTGAAACTATTCTAATTTGCACAGCACCCAGACTCATACCTTATGATGACATTTAATGCTTCATAATCAACAACAGCAGAATGCACATCTCCTCTATTAAATACTATTTCTAACGAATCAATTATATTGGATACCTAAAAGATATAAGCAAATAAACACAAATAAAATAAGCCTGAATTTTTTAACTGGCATCGAGTTAAGAAGACACATACAAAAATTATACTTACTACTTTGCCAACAACTTCAGTAGGAAACGTCTGCTTGGAAATCACCCAAAGTGCCCTAGTACGTACATTTTTGTCTGAACTCTTAACAATATCATTCAATTTTGAAAGCAGTTCTTGAATATTTTTCTCTGAAAAATAAGCAGATTTAATTGTGTGGAAGTTTACATCCTTTAAAATCTCAGATTAAACAAAGAAAAATACCGTACTCTTCCCTGTCAACAAATTAAATTCACAACCAGAGAGGACAAGAGAACCAATGTTGACATGAAACTTCTTCTCAAAATACAAAATTCAGGTCAGATGGGAAGGTATATTCAGAGAAAACAGAGTAGACTCCAAATCAGACATTTTGTGCAACTGAAATATTCTATAGGTCTCATTAGTAGGTTTGAACACACACAAGACCATTTTTGGCATGATGTTATGAATCCTACATATTTGTTCCAGAATGAACAACTGCTACCTTTATTTAATTTTTCTTTTTTGAGGAAGATTAGCCCTGCGCTAACATCTGTTGCCAATCCTCCTCTTTTTTTCCTGAGGAAGACTAGCCCTGAGCTAACATCTGTGCCCATCTTCCTCTACTTTATATGTGGGACGCCTGCCAAAACATGGCTTGATAAGTGGTGCATAGGTCCACGTCCAGGATTGGAACCAGCAAACCCCAGGCCACCGAAGTGGAGCGTGTAAACTTTACCACTGCGCCATGGGCCAGCCCAACTCCTACTTTAGACTGCTAAAATTTTTAGACATAAAAAGAAAGAGAAGAAACTTTTTGCACAGAAAAAAAGATGGTAACAACTTTCTGACGTCCTTATTCCCTATTCCTGATTTCCCTTCTGTAAAGATTACCTCTTAGGCTTCCTTTACCATGGCAAACCACTAACTACAGAGCAACAACTAAGATCACCTGAAAACTTAGAATCAGGTCCTGTGCTTTCATCACCACTTTTAGTTCCAAATTATTCCATTTACCATTACATAAAAGAACTTTTCAATCTGTCATGTTCCTCAGTGTATACACTTGTATAAAATAAATGACCATCTAAATTGTTAACTTCCAAAGCAGCTGTGTATTATAAAGGAAAAGGTGGTTTTTATAGCAATTATTTTTAAATACGCTTATTTTCCGTGAAAGCAAATTTTATGTTATCAAAGTTAGAACTATGTCAAGAAAACCAAATCTTCCAATGATAATCTAAACAATTTCTCTTTCTCAAAAGCAAACCCTAAAGTACAAGTTATGAAATGAATAAACAGTACTTTCAATATCAAATTATTTATACTTATAAATGGTAAAAACATTAAGTCATAATAAATTTACCTACCTGATAATCCTGAGGTAATTTTGGGATTATATAAGCAAAACCCCAAGGCCTGTAGAGCAGCACTACTGAGCTCTGAGTTTTGACTGGAAATGTGAGTCTATAAAAACAAAATCACATTTGTCACAAACAAGAACAACTGTAAAACTATTTTCAGAGAGCAAAAATTGTTTAAAATCAATTACAGACTGAAGTGATGTCAGCATCATGGTGGAGTGAGCTCTTCTCTTACACTCTCCCCACAAGATACAATGAAAAGGACATTCATATACCAACAGACAACATTCACACAACAGAAAAGACATCTGAGAGACCCAAGCAGCCATACGTCTGAAGGTGGAGGTGCTGAAACTCCAGAGAGGAAGTGGAAGGAGGTAAGGCAATCTCCTCTTGTACCCCAACAGCAGCAACCCAGGGCATGGGACCACGCAGCTCTGAGAAAAGAGGCAGGAGGGGCATCTCTCCGAGGGCACACCTTTGCTCTCCAAATTCCCTCACTGCCCAGAGGAATAAACTCCACAAAGGCGGCTAAGCTACTGCATGGATGTCTTTACCAAGCCAGCAGCCCAGAAGAGCAGATAGTGAGGGCAGAGTAAAAATGCCCCCTGGATCGCGCACACGAAACAAAGTGCCCCTCCTCCTGCCCAGCACTCCAGTTCAGGTGGTCAGCCAGAGCACCCAAGTATATGTTAGAAAAGCAACAGCTGTGAGCAAGCTAGCAAGCAATTGCAGACAGGTCCTGTCAGCACAGATTCTAAGGACAGGCACAGATGCCAGGGATCGTGGCAGGCACAGAATACACAGCTTCAGACATCCCTGAATGGTGGCAGGTGGAAACTGCAACCAGATATATCCCTATGCAAAGGCACAAATCCACACCATCAAACAGTCTGAAGAAACATATTAATACTCCAGACCAGAAGGAAAATGACAAGCACCCAGAAATCAACCCTGAAGGCACAGAAATTTACAGTCTAAATGACAGAGTATTCAAAAGTTATCATTAAAAAAAACCAATGAGTTACAAGAAAATAAAGATAGTTCAATGAAATGATGAACAAAATTAATGAACAGAGAATCCTTCACAAAAGCGACTGAAACTATAAAGGAAAACCAATCAGAAATGTTGGAGATGAAAATCAGAATGGTGGAGATAAAAATCTGGAGTCCCTGAATAACAGAGCTGATATTACGGAAGACAAAATTAGCAGTTTGCAGGACAGAAATATAGAAATGATTCATATGGAGAAGAGAGAAGCAAGACTAAAAAAAAAAAAATTCTCTGAGAAATATCAGACTCAATTAGGAAATGCAACATAAAGATTATAGGCATTCCAGAGGGTGAAGGGAGAAAGACTGGAGGAGAAACTTCTTGGAAGAAATAATAGCTGAGAACTTCCCAAACCTGGGGAAGGAGATGGAAATACAAGTAAAAAAAGCTAATATAACTCATAATTATATCAATATAAAAAGACCTTCTTCAAGGTATATAATAGTAAAACTGGCAAAACTCAGCAAAAAAGAAAAAATATTAAAGGCAGCAAGGCAGAAGAAAATAACTTGCAAAGGAACGAACCCCTATCAGGCTTTCAGTGGATTTCTCAGCAGAAATCTTACAGGCTAGGAGAGAACGTAATAATATATTCAAAATTCTGAAAGACAAAAGATTTCAGCCAATATTCCTCTATCCAGCAAAAATATTCTTCAGATATGATGGAGAAATAAACTTTCCCAGATGAACAAAAGCTGAGGGAGTTCATAGTCACAAGACTCCTAAGACCCCCCTACAGGAAATGACCAAGAAAGCCATCATACCTGAAGAAAAAAAGAAAGGGGTTACAAAGCCTTGAGTAAGGAGATAAAGAGGCAGACAAAATCAGCAAATTGCAGCTCTCTATCAGAACAGGTTAGCAAACACAATTATAACATTAATGATAAAGGGAAGGAAAACATCAAAAACAAAATACAATCTCATCATTTTAACCACAAACTCACAACACAAGATGGAATAAGTTGCGAGAACAACTTAGAAGGGGAAGAACGGAACTGAATTGGCATAAGAGGCTATCAAAAATGGACTAGCTCACCTATGAGATCTTTTATACAAACCTCATGGTAACCACTAAACAAATAATCAAAACAAAGACACAAACGATAAATAAAGAGTAAAGTGAGAAAACCATCATAGAGAACTACCAAACTGAATTGGCAGCCTGAAATACACAGGACGAAAAACAATGGAAATACAGAAAAACCAGAAAACAACTAATAAAATGGCAGCATTAAGCCCTCATATATCAATAATCACTCTAAATGTAAATGGATTGAATTCTCCACTCAAAAGACACAGAGGAATAGGATGGATTAAAAAACAAGACCCAACACTATGCTGCCTCCAGGAAACACATCTCAGCTCTAAAGACAAACACAGGCTCAGAGTGAAGGCATGGAAGATGACAGTCCAAGCTAATGGCAAACAAAAGGAAGCACGTGTTGCCATACTTATATCAAAGCAGACTTCAAGATAAAATAGGCAATGAGAGACAAAGAGGAGCAGCATGTAATGATAAAAGAGACATTCCACCAAAAAGACATAACACATAAATATTTATGAACCCAACATAGGAGTACCAAAGTACATAAAGCAACTATTAACAAACTTAAAAGGAGATATTAACAACAACACAATAATAGTTGGGGACCTTAACACCCGATTTACATCAATGAATAGATCATCCAGACAGAAAGTCAATAGGAAATGGTGGATTTAAGAGAAAAACTAGACCAAATGGATTTAACATATACATACAGAGAATACTCCATCCAAAAACAGCAGAATACACATTCTTCTCAGTTGCACACACAGAACATTCTCAAAGATAGATCATATGGTGGGAAACAAGGCAAGCCTGAACAAATTTAAGACTGGACTCATATCAGGCATCTTTTCTAACCACAGTGCTCTGAAACTAGAAATCAACTATATGAAAAAAGCTGGGAAAGTGACAAATATGTGGAGACTAAACAACATGCTACTGAACAACCAATGGATCTTTGAAGAAATTAAAGGAGAAATCAAAAAATATCTGGAGACAAAAGAAAAGGAAAATACAACATACAGACTCAAAGGAGATGCAGCAAAAGCAGTCCTAATAGGGCAATTCATAGCAATACAGGCCCACCTTAAAAAGAAAAATCTCAAATAAGCAATCTTCAACTACACGTATTAGAAAAACAAACAAAGCCCAATGTCAGCAGGAGGGAAGTAAATAAAAATAAGAGCAGAAATAAATTGAACTGAAACCAAAAAAACAGTAGAAAGGATCAATGAAACAAAGAGCTGGTTCTTTGAGAAGATAAAGAAAATTGACAAACCCTTAGCCAGACTCACTAAGAAAAAGAGAGAAGGCTCAAATAAATAAAATAAGAAAGAAAAATAGAGAAGTTACAATGGATACCACAGAAACACAAAGGATTGTAAGAAAATACTATGAAAAATTATATGCCAACACATTGGATACCTAGAAAAAAAATGGATAAATCCTTAGATTCAAACAACCCCCCAAAACAGACTCAAGAAGAAACAGAGAATCTGGATAGACCAATCACAAGTAAAGAGATTGAAACAGTATCAAAAACCTTCCCCAAAATAAAAGTCCAGGACCAGATGGCTTCTCTGGAGAATTCTATCAAACAATCAAAGATTTAATACCTACCCTTCTCAAACTATTCCAAAAATTTGAAGAAGACAAAACACTTCCTAAAACATTTTATAAGGCCAACATCACCCTGATCCCAAAGCCAGAGAAAGACAACACAAAGAAGGGAAATTACAGGCTAATATCGCTGATGGACATACATGTAAAAATACTCAAGAAAATATTGGCAAGCCAAACACAGCAATACATTAAAAAGATCATACATCACGATCAAGTGGGATTTATACCAGGGATGCAGGGATGGTTCAACATCCATAAATCAATCAGTGTGACACACCACATTAACAAAATAAGGAATTAACACATGATCATCTTAATAGATGCAGAGAAAGCATTTGACAGGATCCAACACTCATTTATGATAAAAACTCTCAAGGAAATTGGTATAGAAGTACCTCAACATAATAAAGGCCATACATGACAAACCTACAGTCAACATCATACTCAATGGGGAAAATCTGAATGACATCTCTCTGAGAACAGGAACAAGACAAGGGTGCCCACTCTCACCCTCTTACTCAATATTGTACTGGAGATTTTGGCCACAGCAATTACACAAGAAAAAGAAATAAAAGGAATTCAAATAGGAAATAAAGAAGTGAAACGCTCACTGTTTGATGACAACATGATTTTATAGAGAAAACCCTAAAGAATCCATCAAAAAGCTATCAGAAATAATCAACAACTACAGTAACGTTGCAGGGTACAAAACCAACCTACATAAATCAGTGGCATTTCTATACTCTAATAACAAACTAACAAACAACTCAAGAAGACAATTCTATTTACAATTGCAACAAAAAGAATAAAATATCCAGGGATAAATTTAACCCAAAGAGGTGAAAGACCTATACACTGAAAACTGTAAGACATTATTGAAAGAAACTGAAAAACACACAAAGAAACGGAAAGATATTTCATGCACATGGATTTGAAGAACAAACATAGTTCAAATGTCCATACTACCCAAGGCAATCTACAGATTTAACGAAGTGCCCATCAGAATCCCAATGACATTCTTCATGGAAAGAGAACAAAGATTCCTCAAATTCAAATGGGGCAATGAGAGACCACAAATAGCCAGAGCACTCCTGAGACAAAAGAACAAAGCTAGAGGCATCACAATCCCTGACTTCAAAATATTTTACAAAGCCACAGTAATCAAAACAGCACGGTACTGGTACAAAAACAGACACAGAGATCAATGTAACAAAACTGAAAGCCCACAAACAAAACCACACATCTAAGGATAGCTAATCTTTGACAAATGAGCCAAGAACATACAATGGAGAAAGGAAAGTCTCTTCAAAAAATAATCTTGGGAAAACTGGACAGCCACATGCCAAAGAATGAATGTAGACCATTATCTTTTGCCATACACAAAAATTAACTCAAAATGGAAAGACCTGAAGAAGACCTGAAACCATAAAACCCAGTTAAGAAAATATAGGCAGTACACTCTTTGACATCGGTCTTAGAAGGATCTTTTCAAACACCACATCTACATGAACAAGGGAAACAAAAGAAAAAATAAACAAGCGGGCCTTCATCAGACTAAAGAGCTTCTGCAAGGCAAAGGAAACCAGGAAGAAAATGAAAAGACAACCCACCAACTGGGAGAAAATATTTGCAAATCATATATCTGACGAAGGGTTAAGCTCCAAAATATATAAAGAACTCACACAACTCAACAACCAAAAAACAACCAAACTGATCAAAAAAGGGGCAGAGGATATGAACACACATTTTTCCAAAGACATACAGATGGCCAACAGTAACATGAAAAGATGTTCAACATCAGGCAACTGCAAATCAAAACTGCAATGAGTTATCACCTTACACCAGTTAGAATCACCAAGACAAAATCACCAATAATCAACAAAACAAAAAACAGCAAATCTTGGAGAGGATGTGGAGAAAAGGGAACCCTCATACATTTGTAGTGGGAATACAAAGTGGTGCAGCCCCTTGGAAAAACAGCATGCAGAGTTCTCAAGAAATTAAAAATAGAGGGTTCAGGGCCAGCCCAGTGGCGCAGCGGTTAAGTGCGCATGTTCCACTTCAGCAGCCCGGGGTTCACCAGTTCAGATCCCAGGTGCAGACATGGCACTGTTTAGCCAGCCATGCCGTGGTAGGCGTCCCACATACAAAGTAGAGGAAGATGGGCACAGATGTTAGCTCAGGGCCAGTTTGCCTCAGCAAAAAGAGGAGGATTGACAGAGTTAGCTCAGGGCTAATCTTCCTCAAAAAAAAAGAGGGGCCAGCCTGGTGGCACAGCAGTTAAGTGCGCATGTTCCACTTCGGCAGCCTGGGGTTCGCCAGTTCAGATCCCGGGTGCAGATATGGCACCGCTTGGCAAGTCATGCTGTGGTAGGCATCCCACATATAAACTAGAGGAAGATGGGCACGGATGTTAGCTCAGGGCCAGTCTTCCTCAGCAAAAAGAGGAGGATTGGCAGATGTTAGCTCAGGGCTAATTTTCCTCAAAAGAAAAAAAAAAGAAGGAGCAAAGCTCTTCCACAGAGGGTGAGCAAGAGACTCAAAGGCAAAGCCAACATCCTAGCTGTAGAGTAGAGTGACACCTCTAAGACAAAGAGGGGAAGGGGTTGGAATGTAACATTTACTGAGTATCTAAATTGCCAGGAACTTTAAACATTATCTCAAACTTTTTTGCTTTTTGGTGAAGAAGATTGGCCTTGAGCTAACATCTGTTGCCAATCTTCCTCTATTTTGTATGTGGGATGTTCCCACAGCACCGCTTGATGAGCAGTGTGTAGTTCTGCACCTGGGATCTAAACCTGTGAACCCTCAGCTGTCAAAGCAGAGCATGCGAACTTAACCACTTGGCCACTGGGCTGGCTCCTCAAATTTTTTTTAAAAAAAACTCTACTTCACAGATAGGAGAATTTGAATCCATGCTCATCTGAAATTCAAAGCCCAACCCATATTATGTATGTAAAAGCTATAAAATCTCAAATACGTCAAAGGTAGTCTTGCTATATTCCCCACCCCTACATTTACTTGCAATCCTGTGTCTTTCTTGGTATCACTTCGTATTCCAAAGTGATTTAACTTCAAATCCCCCCACTTTTCTGAATCAGATTCCAAGGAATCCTCGGCTATTTGTTACTTTTGAACACAAGACTAGTAAATAGCAGTCAAATATATAAATAGACAGTTCCCTGGGACACTCCTTCTATAATTAATAAAACAAAACACAAAAACCCAAACCTTGGGGTATAAGCGATATTACAGCAATCAGTTCAGACAACCAAAAATAGACAAGTCAAACACTTAAGACTTTGAGAGCTACCATACCTCCTGCAATATAGCTAGCATGGGTCTGTGATCAACTTCTATTAAATATAGCTATTACATGAAAGTGTTCCTTAACAGTGGTGTGTCTTATCTTCAAGAATGTTGTGGGTTCCTAGACACAATACCAGCAGAATTCTAAAGAATAACTTGAAATATTTCACCTAGTGTGGTTCCTGTTCTGAAGGAATTCCAGTGTCCTTTGAGTGCTTAATTATTCACACAGAAAGTTTCTGTTGATTGTCCAATCATTAACTTCCCATGTGCTTCTAATTACTCATCAGACATTTTAGTTACAATCCCTCCTTACAAACAGTGTGACTTGACTCAAAACGCATGCAGTAGAGTTCCTGATCCTATATGCTCTCAAATACAAATACATGAAGAGGTGTATCTTCATCACATCATATATACTGCTGGAATGTGGAACATGATCATAAAGAAAAATGGGATACAAAATATCATTAATATCGTTTAATATACTAAGTCTTAACTACTACACAATACAGTTCCTGCTTACATGAACAAACATTGATGACTCTAACAGGAACACCTAAGGGTAGGCAGTACCTCGATGCCTCAATACTTAGCCATAAATCATACTAAAATGTACAACAAACATCTTGACAGAATACTTTTGTTTAAAAGCACAAAATAGTCATAAAAATAAGAACTCCAAGGGACTGTGGAGATTTAGTTCAACCTCTTCATTCTAAAAACAAGGAAATTAAAAGGTGTTAAGGGAAGTCACAAAGCCAGTGTTCTCAAGTGATGACAAGAACATAGGTCTTCAGTTTGATGTTAAACTACACCACCTCCCTATAAACAAGCAAAAAAGGATAACCATAATAATGAGTTTTTTAACCAGGCAAGAGTGGCAAAAACTGAGGGTGAGTAAACACAAAAAAATGAGTATTACCCACAGAGTAGACCAAAGACAAGATTATAGAATCATTTACTTAGAAGTACATTACTACAAAAGGAGAAAGAACAGATTAAATAATCTCTGATTACTCCTTTTAAATTAAGAGCACAGGTTTTGGATTCAAGTGGCCATAGGCAACTTTAGGGAAGTTAAACCAATTTCTTTTGCAAAGTGGAAGATTAAAGAGTAACCTCACAGGGACACGCAGGATAAAGGGCGAGAACCGAGCAAGATAATTAAGAGAGTACTTGATATACTGTAAATCCTCAAGCAGTACTATAATAACCCTGCTGTTATTTTAGATTCCAAGCTTTTATGAGTTAGCTGGTAAAACTTTTTTCACAAAGTAAAAAACTATTTAATAAACAACAGAGATACATACCTTTAAGACTTTGTATAGCTGAGGAAGTTTTTTCTCGATTTCTACAATGACTTCTTTTCCATCTTCTCCAGTCATGCGACTTAAAAGGAGAAAAACCACAAGTTTATGCAAATAGAAGACACAAAAAAACTATAATCACTCCCTGAAATAATCTCTTTAAAGTTTGTTAGAACTCTGGCAAATTAAAATTGACCTAGAACTTACAATGCTTAAAAATATATAAAGTATATAATGCAATATAGATCTGAAATAGATGCAAAAAGTAACTTTCGCATCCACGGTGTACACGTTTCGATAGTTTCACTATGTGACGAGGGAACAGGTAAACCTATTATTAGTTACACACTTACTAAATCTTTATCGTTTTGTATCAGTGGTTACCCTTTCCTAGCAATTTCCAAATAATTATAGATAACTCCGAAAAATACGGTTTGCAGAGGAAAAAACTGTGTGAAGCAGGTGCAATACAACTCGCGTTACTGCTCTCTATTAAAAAACCAATTCTGAGCTGCCACTTATCCCAATACATAGGCGGCTTTCGTGAAAACCTCTCCTCCACTTGCAACCAAACTTTAAAAAATCCTTCCCTTGCAAGAAACACGTGCGGGCGTCGTCATTCCAAACACACACCCCAGGCGCTGCAGCAGCACCCGGGAACGTCACTTAGCACGCCACCCCCCCGCTCCCGGCCAGCGACCCCAACGCCCTCACAGCTGCCAGAATTGTGCAATACACAAGCCCGTCGTTCGGGCCCCACCCGGACTAGCTTCTCCACAAGGCCCAGCGGAGCGCCGCGCCCCCCGCCACCCCCGCGGGCCTCACCTGGTCAGAGTCAGGTACGCGTCGGTCTGCTCTCCATGAGAGGCAGAAGGGTCTTCCAAAGTCTCCAACAGCGGCGCGAGGGGGCTCGGACCCGGGGCCGTCATGTCGGCCACCCTGCGGCACGCACCGGAAGAGGAGAAAATCCAGTGACCGCTGCAAACAGGCCCGCGGGGGCCCAGGGGAGTCCGGGCCCCGGGCCCGCGCGCCCGCCCCGGCCTCGCCGCCGCGCCGCGTCCGCACCCCAGGCTCCCTGCGCACACCCCCAACAGCCTAACCTCCACCGGCGCCGCGCAACACGCACCCAGGCCCACGCCGCGCTCGGCCAGGCCCGCTCCCGCCACCACTTTCCCGGGCAGCTTTCAACAGGGGGAGGAGACCGCCGGGGGGCGGGAGAAGCCCGGGGAGCAAGGCATCTCGCCGCGAGGGGGCGGAGGCTGCACCAGACTGACGGTTCGCGCGGCCTAGCACCGTGACCCGGATCTGGACCCCCACGTACGGCGATCAGGACTGCGTCCTCTCCGCCGCCGCGCCGCAGCACCCGGACACGGCCCGAGCTCCACTTGCCCGGCTGGGGCTGTTTACTCACGCGTGCGGCCCGCTCCCTCCTAGACCAAGATGGCGGCGGGGGCGGGCCCCTGAGCGCGCGGGAGTAGGTCAGGCCTGGCGAGAGAGGCTCGAGCCAATCCAACAGGCCGCGGCGGCGCGCCGAAGTCATCGATCGCCTCCCTTCCCTGCCTGCTGTCCCGCCCCGCCCCTCAGGTCATCTTGCAAGTGGGAGTGTTTGGGACTGGGACTTGAAATTCACAATGTGAGTGAATCGCTCAAATTTAGCTGACTAAATTTAGCGGGTCTTCAGATTAAGTTTTCAAACTCCAAGTTCAGTGCTTGTGGAAGTATTAGTAGCAACAAGTCGTTTAGCAAGAGGGGATAACCATACTGTGACGTTTAATAAGACTAAGAGGTGCGCCTAGATTGGTCTAGATTTTCCAGCCCTCTTTCTGTGTGACCTTAGCAAGTTAATCAACCTTTCTATGCCTCAGTCTCCTCCTCTGTAAAACAGAGATAATAATAGTGCCTACTTTAGGTGAAAATGAAGTGACAAAAGGTAGGAGAGGCCAACGGTTCTCCAGTTTTAAGTGTACATAACAATGGCCTAGGGATATTCCTGATTAAACTGCAGATTTCTGGCCCCGCCCTTGGACATTGTGATTCAGCAGATCTACGTAGCTCCCAAGGATCTGCATTCATCTCTTAGGCCCCAGGTGTTGAAGGGTGGGTCTGGGTCTGGACATCACACCTGGAGAAACGACAGTAAACCCTTAAAAAAAAGTCTGTTCCTGCTTTTAATATGCTGCTCCCCTTTTCATGGGTCTCTGAGCCCTCTCCACAACACGCAGGATTGTATCAACTTTAAACCAGGCATCTAAGGCCCAGAAGCAACTGATCCTTCTACTCTGCCTTCACGGGTTCCGGGCATCCAGCTTGAGCCTCCACTTACCCACACACAGTACAACTGTCAGCTCCAGAATTCAGGGCTGTGTTTTGCTGTTTTGTGTTATCTGCACCTAGCAAAGTGTCTGCCAAACCAAGCACTCAATACATAACATTTCTTAAATGAAAAAAATGAAAGGAGGGAAGAAGACATACAACGTCTTGTAAGCCAAGCTGTGGAAATAAAAGACTTAAGAAATAGTGAAGAGTTGTATCTGGGTGAAATGTAGAAACACTACGGAAGTCGTGGCAGAGACAGGTTTTCGGCACAACATGATAACAAATACTTTAAGCTTCAGAGGGGAATTTGCTCATTTTCCTCATTTTCTGAGCTTTGGCAATGTCACAGATATTTAAGCAGGTAAAGAAGTTATTAGACAATAAATGAAATATATGGACAGGTTTGCAACACTTAGATTTCAGTATAGAGGAGCTGTTGTGTTGGAAAAAGTGAGAATCTAGAAACCCTATTCTTTTTTATGGTGGCCATAAAAAATTAGTGGAAAGAACTTGTTTGCCTTAAGACAAGTATTTCCACTCAATCCTTATGTGCCTTACTCTGCTTCAGTCTTCTTTCTAGCACTTATCACTACCTGATAGTACATTATATATCTTTTTTTTATTGTCACCTCTCACCACTAGAATGTAAATTCCTTAAGTATATAGGGTCTTTGTTTTATTTGGTTTTTTCCCTGATTTCTCATTTATCAAGAAGAGTTTAGGGTGGTCATGCTGCTTATACCTCTTTCAAATGCATTGTCCTATGAACTTCCTAAAATGTTATGTAATATTTTATCATTATCACTCTCATGCCTGAAATCCTTCAGTGGTTCCTATCAATCACAGGATGAATTTCAGAACTCTTGGCATAACACGCAAGCCTGTTATGATTGGACCACAGCTCACACTTTATCCCCAGCCTTACCCCTACTCCAGCCAGGTTCTGAATAATCTGCCAGGATCTCTACCTTTTCTATGTCTTTGAAGGTCTATGTTGTTCCTTGTGTTTAGAAAATTAATTCAGATTTTCAAGGGTGACAAATGAGCCAACTAAAATCACACCTTTTTAGGAATTCCATCTCTCATCTACTCTCCCTTCATGAAGAACTAAATGCTTCTGCTCCCATGCTGACATGGCTGTTTGTACACAAGCCTGTTAAAATGAGTACCTCATTAATTTGTTTGTTTTTATTTTTTTATTTTTTTTTGAGGAAGATTAGCCCTGAGCTAACTACTGCCAATCTTCCTTTTTGCTGAGGAAGACTGGCCCTGAGCTAACATCCATGCCCATCTTCCTCCACTTTACACGTGGGACACCTACCACAGCGTGGTTTTTTGCCAAGCGATGCCACGTCCTCATCTGGGATCCAAACAAGCAAACTCCGGGCCGCTGAGAACCAGAACGTGAGACCTTAACGGCTGTGTCACTGGGCCGGCCCCATCGTTAATTTATTATTATTTAGTTATATATGCCTGCAGTGGTGAGCTGAGGGTTAGCCTGAGAAGAATTAGTTCCACCCATAATCTCATTCAGTGCCCCTCCCTGTTCGTTGGTATTTTCTCAATCTGATCTAAAGTGCTAAAAGATTACAGAGTCAAAACAAATCCCATTCTGACCCAGACCTTCTTCACATACCCTTCTACCCAGATTACTCCTCCCAAGCTTCTCTTTTATAGAAATCTGGAGCCACTACCATGGATCTACTCCCACTGAGCAATAAATTCATAGTACCCAGCATTCAATAAATATTTTGAATTAATTTATTAATTCATCCATCTTTTTATCTGTTTGTTCAACTAATATACAATTTCTATCTTCTTTGCCTCTCCAAATCTCTTTTTCACCTCAGAACATCTTCTCCTTCAGTATGAAAAGCCGTGCATCCTCAAACAAATATTCCTTTCTAATTTCCCCATTCCTGTCTTTAACCACACCTCGTTCAGCACATATAAATCCTATAATCTTATGTGTATCTTTGACCCCTTTCTCCTACTTGCCCCCAGTGATCCTAATGATTCTTCCTACCTAATAATTCTTAGATCTATCCACTTAATATCTACCTAGGATCTCAATTTATGGCCTAAACATATCATTTCTGGATTACAACGTTGCTTTTTTTAATTCTCTATTGGGTGCTAGATATTTTACATACCTTATCTCATTTGTTCCTCACAATGGTTCTAAGATGAAGAAGTGCTTTTCCTGGATTTACAAATAACCAGTGTGAAGCTTAGAGAGGGAAATAGAGAACTTTAATGTCTTCATGTGTAACTCCAAAGCTAATCCATTTAGCTACATGCATTCATCAACATTTAATCCGCTCTACCCTGCAGAAAGCACTGTGGTGGTGTGGTTTTCATCATAGATTTACTCTTGGGCATTGTAAGAAAAATTCAATACAAAGAGTCCTGTGGAAGCTCACTATAGTAATTCATTTAGTAAAATGAAGTATCCATCTGTTACCCAAATTACAAGAGTTAATGCAACGAGCCTAGCTTTGGGGTCAAATAGACAAGGATTCAAATACTGCTTCTGCCACTGTGCAACTTGAGATCTTCTAGAAAAATTCTTAATTTCACCGTGTCTTCATCAATAAAATGAGAAGAAAAACAACAATACTAAAGGTCAGTAAATGGTAATTATTATTACCCTGTGCCTAGCACAAATCCTGGCACAAAGTGGGTATTTAATGTGTTCATTACATGAATGTATGAATAAATTATATTAATTGAAAATCTCATAATTTTTTTCTAAAATATAGGAATTATTTTAATTTTTGTCATTTAAAAATTGCATAGTGTAAGGGTTCTGTGGGAAATTTGAAGTATCAGCCAGCATGATAACTATTTTACTGGATTTATTTAAAGAAAGCCATGCTTTGAAATCTTTTTAGCTTTTCAGTTCTGTGTTGCTTTAGTCTCTTGATGGACAAAAAAATCTTTTTTAGATTATTTTATCCCATTACTGGTTCATATACAATAAATATACACAGCTAATAACATGCCCTATGATAGCTTGAAATCTGCTACTCTTACATTCAGACCTGCTCCACAATGTTATCAACTTATGTTAACTAAGTACTTTAATCCTTTAACAAACCAAAGGCCTTATCTGGAAAAATGGTTTCACTCTTTCCACAGAGCTGGGCAGAGTTCCTACTGTTAATGACCAAACCAACTCCATTTTAGATGAAAAAGTTGAGCCCCTTCAAGTTCAAATGAAAGAGAGAGGCAACATAGTATAACAGTTAAACCTGGAGCCTGATTGATAAGGTTTGAATCCTGTTTCTGTAACTTCTTAGCTTTGTGACTCTGGCAAGTTACTCAACCTCTTGTGCCTCAGTTTCCTTATCTGTAAAATGGGAGTAATTGCACTTACTTCATAGGCTTGTGAGGTATATGTAGGTTAATACATGGAAATTGCTTGAACAAAAAGTAGGCACCATGTTATAAATATTTCAGAAAGGTTAGCCATAGAAACATTGGTTTCTCAGGTTCAAGTAAAACAACATGTTATAAAATCATGAATGCTTCCAAAAAACACTTTTACATTGAAATGGGTTTCTCAGCCCACGTTAAAATTATGAGGCTACAACTCTTATTCAACATAGTACTGGAAGTTTTTTGCCAGAACAATTAGGCAAGAAAAAGAAATAAAAGGACTCCAAATAGGCAATGAAGAAGTGAAACTCTCACTGTTTGCAAATGAAATGATTTTATATATAGAAAACCCTGAAGAATCCATTGGAAAACTATTAGACATAATGAACAAGTATAGCAAAGTTGCAGGGTATGAAATCAACTTACAAAATTAGTTGCCTTTCTATACTCTAATAACAAACTAACAGAAAGAGAACTCAAGAATACGATCCTATTTTTCGTTTTTTGTTTTTTTTAAGATTGGCATCTGAGCTAACAACTGTTGCCAATCTTTTTTTTCCCTGTGTTTTCTCCCCAAATCCCACCAGTACATAGTTGTATATTTATTTTTAGCTGTGAGTCCTTCTAGTTGTGGCATGTAGGATGCTGCCTCAGCATTGCCTGATGAGCGGCGCCATGTCTGCACCTAGGATCCAAACCAGAAAAAACCTGGGCCACTGAAGTGGAGCGCGTGAACTTAACCACTCGGCCACGGG